CGCCGACCTCGCCGCACAGCAGGCACGAGGCGTCCACGGCCATGCCCTGCTCGAACTTGCGGCTCTGACACCACTGCCCGTTGGCCACCACCGAGGCGAGGTAGCCGCGCTCCTTGGGTGTGAGCCTGGGCGTTGACTGCTTGCCGGCATCCATGGGATTCGGCCCATGGTCCATCCGCGCCGCACTCTGGCGCCAACGCAGCGGCCCCAGGCACTCCGCCAGCCCTGGGCACACCGACGAAAGGTCATCGAGCACGAGTATCCAGCTCACCTCGCTGAGGCCCAACTCCGCCGCAAGCCAGGGGCCCCAACTCCCCCCGACCTCCCCGGAGCGGTCGCGGTCCTGCTGAGCCCGCCTCTCGTGCGCAACTCCTCCGAAGGCGGCCTCGCACTCGACGATTCGGCTGCCTGCTCTCCACGCGACAGCGACGACCTCTGAGCAGCGGGCTCCGACGACAGCTCAGGGCAGACCGCGGCCGCCAGCGGCGGCACTGGCGCCGCGGCGGCGGCCCCGCGGGCGCCATCTGCATCGCGCTTGCCAGGCGCAGCGCTGAACTCCTTCTCCGCCTCGGTCATGGAGCGCGCGTGCCGCGCCACCTGCTCCTCCCACTCCTGCGCGTCGGACTCGGCCAGCCTACGAATGTTGGCGTGGTAGCTGGCCCGAATGCGTCGCCGTGTTGCCCGCGCCGCCTCGCAGAAGTCCTGCGCCATCCTGAGCCTGACCACGCCCATGTTGTCGATGCCGATCGTCCAAGCAGCCTTGTTGACGAGCGGCGTCCACGTGCCATGCATCAGCAGGTCGGCCACGTAGGACACGCACATGCGCAGCCAGCGCGCTCCGTCTCCAGCTTCGTCGAGCACAGAGGCGTCCTGGAGCCAGAACGTGGCGTAGGCCCTCAGCCTCCTCTCGAGCGTCATGCGCGCCGACGCGGCAGCTCGCCGCGCAGGGCCCTGGCCCTTGGCCTCCGTGACTGGCAGCTGTGTCCCGAAGACGCCGTTGCGGCTGACGGCGCCCGCGGCGGCCATATTAATAAAGGGCTCGAAGACGCCGCCGTTGGCCAGGTGCTCGAGCCCAGTGCCCTCGCTGACCTCACGCCGCTGCCATGCTTGCACAGCACGCAACGGGAGACGCCTGACGATCCATGGGGCCAGCTCGAAGACATTGATGTCGACATCTTCGCGCGTGCGCCAGGTGGTGGCGTTGACCACCTGCCGACCGACCCGCTCGAGGGTGAGCCGCGACGCAGTGAAGGGCCCGCGCACCTGGCTCCAGCTCTGGGCCTGGCAGCAGGTCATGCCGTAGTCGACGCCCGCAGAAGCATCATGGTGGGCAAGAGCGTGGCTCTGATCATCGGGTCGAGCATGGGCGTCAGCATCAGGGTGAGCGTGCGCGACCGTCCAGCCACGCGGGGCGCGACCGCCTTGAACGACTCCGTCCGCAGCGTGTCCAGCTCCATGGTGGCGCAGCCAGTGGCGGTGACGCCGTAGGTCACGCTGGGCTCGATGCCAGCCCTGGCGACCTTGCGCACAGCGCCCTGCGCCTGTCTTGAGGATCACCACGCGGCGTTGACGTAGCCCTGCCTGCACCGGCTTCTCCTTGGGCACCTTGCGCACGATTCGCCTGCCACGCGAGAAGTCAACGCCCAAGTTGCGATCGCCACCTCCACCTTCGGCCTGCTTCTCGACCCGCGGCTCGAACTGGGCGGTCCGCTGCGACATGCCGCGATCCGCCATCTCGAGCGCGGCCGCGTGCGCGCCCGCATGCAGCTGCTGCAGCGCGACAGGGCCCAGCAGGGACAAGCGCAAGTTGCTCGGTCACCAAGCCACGGCTTGAGGCAACACCTGAGGGCAGGACAGAACCTCGCCGTTATCAGGTGTCGACCTCACAGTGGCCGGGGCCCCCTCTGTCTAGCAGTCTGCGCATGCCTCGAAGGGCGTCGAGACGCGCGCATGGCTGCTCCACGGCGGCGATGTCGAGCAGCGCGCTGGCCACGCGGCGCACCCGGGTCGTCTCTGCAGAAACTCGGGGCCAGCGGGCACCAGCCACAGAAGCCGACGGCACCGCTGCGGCTCTGCAGGGCGAGATCGCCCCTTGTGCTTGACCCTGTCCTCCTCCACCTGGTAGATGTCGATCCACTCATCCTCGGCGGCGTCGAGGAACCGCTGCCAGGCAGTGGTGAGGTGGCCCTTGATGCTGCTGTCACGCTCGACCCTTTCCAGCGCCATCTCCTGCCCGCCACCAAGCAAGCTCTGCAATTCCTGGCCGATCTCGCTCCAGCGCTCGCCGCGCGCATGGCGAGCGCAGCCCGCGGGCCGCTGGACAGGGAAGGGCTCGGGCACCTGCGCGACCCTGACACGCGGCCTTCGGCGCGAGGCCTCCAACTCCAAGATGACGGGTTTGTGCGGGTAGACTTGTGGCCCGCGGACCACTCGGATGCTGGTCACCTTGCGCCCTCCCGAGACGATGAACATATCGATCGTCCTCTTCGACTGCGCGCAGCTGGGCTCCAAAGTGTCCGCGACGACGGCCTCGAGGAGCCTCGGCACGCCCGACTTCGCCAGCTCCTACTTGGTGCACTTGAAGTCGCCTCCGACCACGCACGGGCGACGATGCTCCCGCAGCCTGCAGGCCAGGTTTTTCAGCGCCTGGTAGTTGAACGCGTTGACACCAACGCCTGACAGCAAGTAGATGTTGGCCAGCACGATGCCACTGCGCACTGGCCCAGAGCGATGTAGCACACGCACGCGCCCCTCACGTAGGAATGGCGGGCGTGACCCCAGCGTGGCGGCAAGCCCATGCTCGCTGCGCACACATGCGCGCAGCCCCCCAGTCGCCAGCCCCCCAGCCAGCGACGGCACTGCGGCTGCACCGCAAGCACGAAGTCCCCTACGACGAAGCTGCCCTTCAACGTCAGTCGTTCGTGCTTGTCCTAGCCGAGTTTCTTGAAACAAGATGACGTCGCAGCCAACCAGCTCCTCGATGAGACACCTGCCGACGTTCGAATATGAGTTCATATTCAGCGACGCGATGCTCCAGGACTGGGCGCGGCTACCCCAACCGCTGCTTCTTGGCCTCGACCGCGGTCTCGTGCTTCTGCTTGAGGTGGGCCTGGAACTCCTCAACGAACTTCCGCTTCTCGGGGTCGGAACAGACGAAGTCCGAGGCGGCCTGGAGCGTGTCACCCGTGGCAAACTCCAGCGGGCCCCCTTCGACGTACACGTCGGAGCCTTCGCCCGCGGCGACACCCGCAGCGGCAGCCACAGCTGCACAGCCGCTTGCTGGGGCGCCCGCGGCGCCACCGCCCGCTGCGACTGGTTCAGGAGAGTGAGCTGCCAATACTCCTGCCAGCAGCGCGCGGAGGGGGCCCAGCAGGTCTTCGCTGAGCTGGAGGTTGGGGGTTCCCAGGGACGCACCCACGGCGCCCTCGAGCTTCTTCGCGTGGCCGGTGAGTTCGCCAACGTCGCACTTGGGCGCGGCACCATGCTTGGGCACGGTGTCGTTGGCGAGCGCGGCCTTCGCCCTGGAGACAGCGGCGTCCAGCTCGACCTGTAGCTGCGCGACCTTCTCCTTCTGCGTGAAAGAAGCCTGGAACGCCTCAGCAGTCTGCTTCTGCTTCTTCCCGTTGTCCACCTTGGCGTGCTGTAGCCGCTTGCAAGCTTCGTCCGCCGCCATATGCGCAGACTTGACCGTCTTGATCTCGGAGAGCGTGCCCAGCTGCTGCTGGAGCAGGAAGCGCGGCTGCCGCACTCTGTGCTTGTCGCTGGCGGCCAGCGTGGCGGACAGCAGCTCGAAGTCGGCATCGCTGAGTGCCAGGAAGCGGTCGCGGGCCTCGGGCGGGAGCTTGGGCGGCTGTGCCCCAGAGCCCCCGCCACCTCCACGCTTCGGCTTCTGCACGATGTGCCACGGGCGGGAAACGCCAACACCATCCGCCCAAGCCCCGCGCGGTGGAAGAGGACCATCACGAGGAGCAAGCACACCGCGATTGGTCGGCCGACAGCCCGTGCACCCCGCCTGCCGACACTTCGCGCGCCAGCCCAGTTTCTTGTAGTGGCAGCGGTGGCAACGCCAGCTTGTCCCCTGAGCTGACTCACGCGCTGCACCAGCGCCAGAGCCGCCGCCGCCGCCGAGAGGAGGAGGAGGAGGAGGAGGAGGAGGAGGAGGAGGAGGAGGAGGAGGAGGAGGAGGAGGAGGAGGAGGAGGAGGAGGAGGAGGAGGAGGAGGAGGAGGAGGAGGAGGAGGAGGAGGAGGAGGAGGAGGAACCATGCCGCGCGAACGGCTCGCCACAAGGGTGGCGGGCCCCTCACTTGGGGCTGACCAGGCGGAGACAATGGAAAACTGCCGCGGACTAGCGGTATCCTTGCAGGCGCGGAGGCGCGGAGCCCCCACAGCGCAGGCATCTTGAGCCACAACGGCTACGTGATCACCGAGGACGAGGACGAGGAGGAGGAGGAGGAGGAGGACAGGAGGAGGGAGGACGGGAGGAGGAGGAGGAGGAGGAGGAGGAGAGGGAGGAAGAAGGAGGAGGAGGGGGAGAGGAGAAGGAGGAGGAGGAGAAGAGGAGAAGGAGGAGGAAGAGGAGGAGGAAGAGAGGAGGAGGAGGAGGAGGAGAGAGGAGGAGGAGGAGGAGAAGGAGGAGGAAGAGAAGGGAGGAGGAGGAGGAGGAGGAGGAGAGAGGAGGAGGAGGAGGAGGAGGAGGAGGAGGAGGAGGAGGAGGAGGAGGAGGAGGAGGAGGGGAGGAGGAGGAGGAGGAGGATGAGAGGAGGAGGAGGAGAGGAGGAGGAGGAGGAGGGAGGAGGAGGAGAGAGGAGGAGGAGGAGAGAGGAGGAGGGGAGGAGGAGGAGGAGGAGGAGGAGGGGGCGGAGGAGGGAGGAGGAGGAGAGAAGAGGAGGAGGAGGAGGAGGAGGAGGAGGAGGAGGAGGAGGAGGAGGAGGAGGAGGAGGAGGAGGAGGAGGGGAGGAGGAGGAGAGGAGGCGGCGGCGGAGGGGGAGGAGGAGAATGAGGAGGAGAAGAGGAGGAGAAGCAGGAGGGAAGCAGCAGGAGGAGAGAGGAGGAGGAGGGAAAGGAGGAGGAGAAGGAGGAGATGGAGGAGGAGGAGAAAAGGAGAAGGAGTATGGGGAGGAGGAGGAGGAAGAGGAGGAGAGGAGGAGGGGAGGAGGAAGAGGAGGAGGAGGAGAAGAGGAGGATAACCAGGAGGAGGGGGAGGAGGAGGAGGAAGAGGACGAGGAGGAGGAGGAGGAGAGGAGGAGGAGGAGGAGGAGGAGGAGGAGGAGGAGGGGAAGGAGGAGGAGAAGGAGGGGAAGAGGAGGAGGAGGAGGAGAAGGAGGAGGAGTATGGGGAGGAGGAGGAAGAAGAGGAGGAGGAGGAGGAAGAGGAGGAGGAGCAGGAAGAGGAGGATAACCAGGAGGAGGGGGAGGAGGAGGAGGAAGAGGACGAGGATGAGGAGGAGGAGGAGGAGGAAGAGAGGAGGAGGAGGAGGAAGAGGACGAGGACGAGGACGAGGAGGAGGAGGAGGGAGAGGGAGGAGAAGGAGGGAGGAGGACAAAGGGCCACCGATGGCGCACCCGCGAGCAAGCACTTTCAATATCAGCCGTCGAAAACGAACCTATCTCGCAACACATCACGTGCAGTCTGGTATTTGGCCATCGATGGCACAGCATATGGCGCAACCAAGGGCAGGCCGCTACTCGGCACTTGAGGGAGCTAGCTTTAACGCAACCAATAGCAAGCTGCGTCATGTTCGGCACCCGGGGAGGCATAAGATGGTGTAGGCTTTGGCGCACCCCAGGGACGGCGCAACTTCCAGCGCAACCCGTGGTGCACCCCATGGATGGCGCAGCCCATGGCGCAACCCATAGGTGGCGCAATATATGGCGGAAGCCATGGATGGCGCAACCAAAAGCGCAAGCCATGGATGGCGCAACCTACGGGTGGCACACCTCATGGGTGGCTCACCCCCTGGTAGTTCATACGTGGCCCCGCCGATTCAGGCTCGCCGTTTGGGCAAGTGGTGGGGCCCAAGCGGCGAACTGCCTTGTGACTCAGATTCTTCCAGTTTCCACGCATCTTCGCCAACCGCTGTTCCTCCCTTGTTTGTTCTGCAAATCGTTATCATAGCAGGTTATTCGTGGTCCAGTGCGGATCCCGAAAGATCCAACCAATAATAGGGTCGCGCTCAAATGTTGAAATGTTGGGCCTGTACAGCTTGGAATGTTGCGAATCGTGTGTCGATGCCGCGATGCCGCACTTACTGTTGGCCGCGTGCCCAGGGTGGAAGTGAGTGGGGGCACGCCCTCTCAGAAGGCGGCCAGACAGCTTCTCAGAACGGCGGAGGCCGTCTGAGCCATCTGAGAAGGCCCGCCCACTCTGCCTTCCCTCCTTGGCTCGCGGCCAGTATAGGAACGGGCTCACAAGCCGACATTTCTCTAACTAAGGCCACTCGTCCTCAAGGGCCTCATGTCATGGCCTCATCTCTCAGCCGCCGACTACTCCAGGCCGTGCGTCGATTCTGGGCCTGGGAGGCGTGGAACGGTGAGAATCCGAGACCTGCGACACGCTGTCTGGACACGGGCGGGGTGGGTGGGTGACTGGAACGGCGAGAACCCCATGGCCCTGTTATGCTCTCTGGACGTGGGAGACCTGAGGGAGGGGCGCGCCCGGGGACATAGTCGGGGGACGTGCCCAGAAACGTGCCCAGGGGCGCGTCAGGGGGTGACGTGCCCGCGCCTGGCGACGAGTCTGGGGACGCGTGTCGGGGCGCCTCTGGGGACACGTCTGGGGGCCTGTCAGGGGACGCGTGGACCTGCCAGGGGATGGGTCTGGGAGCATGTCATGGGACGCGCGCCATCCTCTAACGTGCAGGCACAAGAACTGCAGTCAAAACATCATAAGGACGGGCGGTAAGGACGCAAGACCGTGGGAGGCTGAAGTTGGGATATGTTGGGCAGCGGGCGGCCAAACCCCTGGGACGCAAGAGTACCCTAGCCGGCCCCCGTCCTCGCCGATTTGGTGCCGGGGCCCACAGCAAAAACAACGCAAGGACGCACGGGTACCCTCAAAATCCGCGAGTCCCTTTGGGCATGGGCGCCTCGCCCCGCGGCCGACGCTGTGCGGGCCGAAGGGGCAAGGACGCGCAAGAGGCTCTCCGCCTCGCGGCCGACGCGGCGCAGGCCGCAGGGGCAAGGACGGGCCCTGCCAGCTCCGCGTCCGCGGGGGCGCCCAACACCGCGGGCGACGCGGTGCGCGCCGCGCAAGCAGCAACTGTCATCACCATCCATCATCATCATCATCATCATCATCATCATCATCATCATCATCATCATCATCATCATCATCATCATCGTCGTCGTCGTCGTCGTCGTCGTCGTCGTCGTCGTCGTCGTCGTCGTCGTCGTCGTCGTCGTCGTCGTCATCATACATAGCGGATCAGCAGAAGGATGACACGTTCCACCCAGAAAAACTTGCGAGAAATACGAAATATGCCACTCGCATTCTGGATGCCAACATGGGACCATACACTGTCACACGGCGCAGGGGTGACGCGTGTGACTCCGAAAACCGTGTGAGAAGAACCGATTGTTTCACTCGTATTCTGGACGCCAACATGGGATCATACAGTATGAAATACAACAAGGGTGACACGTGTCAATCCCGAAACTGTGTGAGAGGAACCAATTGTTTAACTCGTGTTCTGGACGCCAACATGGGATCATACAGTGTGAAACAACCCATGGGGTGACACGTGTCACCCCGAAAACCGTGTGAGAGAAAACACACGTTTCACTCGCATGCTGGATGGCAACATGGGACCATAAAGTGTGAAACGGCACAGGGGTGACACGTGCCACCCCAAACAACTTTTGAGAAACACGAATTGTTTAACTTGTATCGTGGACGCCAGCATGGGACCATAGTGTGTGGGACAACACCAGGGTGACGCGTGTCACCCCGAATGCCGCGTGAGAAAACCAATTGTTTCACCCGTCTTTTGAACGCCAACACGGGACCACACAATGTGAAATGACATAGGGGTGACGCGTGTCACCCCGAAAACCAAGTGAGAAAAACTGATTGTATCACTCGCATCCTGAATGCCAGCACGGGACCATACAGTGTGAAAAAGGGTGACACGTGTCACCTCGAAAACCGCGTGATAAAAACATATCGCCTCACTCGTATTCAGAATGCCAACGTTGGACCATACAGTGTGAAGCAACACAAAGGTGACACGTGTCTCCCCGAAAACCGTGTAAGAAAGACCAGCTGTTCCACTCGCATTTCAACATGGGACCATACCTTGTGAAACAACACAAGACGACACGTGTCACCCCGAACACCGCGTGAGAAAAAAAACATTGTTTCATTTGTATTCTGGAAAACTCTAGACGCCAGCATGGGAACGTATAGCGTGAATCAGAACAGGGGTGACACGTGTCAACCCGAATACCGTATGAGAAAAATCAATTGTTGTACTTGCATTCTGGACACGAACATGGGGTCATACAGAGTGAAGCAGCACAGGGGTGACACGTGTCACCCCGAAAGCTGAATAAGAACAAACAGCTATTCCACTCATATCCTGGATGCCAGATACAATGTGAAGCAGCACCAAGGTGACACGTGTCACCCCGAAAACCGTGTGAGAAAAAACACGTCTTCCACTCGTATTCTGGATGCTCCGGCGCCTTCAGCGGGCTTTCCGCCGTCGCTCCTTGGCACACTCCTTTGTCGGCCCACTCTCGGTTAATCGCTCTCCCCGCCTTCCAATCCTGGTTGGCTTATGTCACCTTCCACTCTCACCGTACAGTAGTTTCGTCCGCTGGTAGCCCCTCCCCGCCATCCACGCCTGGATGGTTATGGCTGCTGCCGGCTGCGAGAACGTGAGTGGCCTCTGAGAGCGTAGACGGGCGCTTTCCGATGTTTGCGCTCGACTTGCTACGCCCAGTCGCCGCGCGCGGGACCGCGACGACAAAATTTGTGTGTGTGTGTGTTTGTTTGTGCGTGCGTGCGTGCGTGCCCGCGCGCGCGCGCTCACCTGAGACGTCTGTACACCTAACATTCGCACAAGCGGATGCCCTCTTGCCCAACCCTCTCTCGTTGTGCCTCCCCCTCCCCCTCTCCCCCACCCTCCCCGCATCCTCCTGCTTGGCCTCCTCCTCCGCCCCCTCGCCTTCCCACCGGCGGCTTCCTCGCCCTTTCTGCACTCCCCTTTCGAAAGGCACGAACCAATCACACCAGACGTACAGCTCGTCCAATCTCTTCCCAGTCCTGTGATGAGGGCCACCGCAGTGCAGCGGACACGGCACAAAGTGAGCAGTGGGACCAAGGAAGATGAGCGGAGACGATGATGAGGAGGAGGAGAAGCTGAGGAGGAGACGGACGAGGAACTGAGGAACAGCTGAGGAGGATGAGCTGAGTAAGCCCAGATGGAGCCAACGATGTGAATGTGACCCCGCCTCACAAATCCCCACAGGCATCCCTGTTCACGAGGAAGCGCCTCCTTTGAAACGCGAGTGCCCCACGGGCCTGCCATGCAGGCAATGGCTACGTCTTCAGAGGAACTGCCCTGGGGAACGCGATGGGACCCGAAAGTCACCGTTTGAAAAGGGCCACCTTCCGACCAGATGACCAGTCCACGGTGTTCCGTGGCGGGTCGTAACGTTGGATGGCAGCTCAAGGGACAATCCGATGTTCACAGGGAAAGGCGCTCCTTCCTTGGTAGCACCATTGCAAAGTGTTGCACATTGGGTGCATGGTGTAAGGGAGTCTCAAGCGATAGTCTCGTTTTGACAAGGAGCCACAATCCATTTTCGCGGCTGTAAAAACTGTAGGCGACCGTTATCCACCCTTGTGACAGCAGGAAGGCTTAACACGAATTCTCGCGGTGCTAAGGCGAGGGCAACATCTTGAAAGCTATCCGCCGCCCATCGTTATGACTGTTGGTGAATTCGATCTTCGAGACCATACATGCTGAGGGTGGGGAACGTCCCAGGCGAAACGCCAGGACAGCCCTGCCGACACTCCTGGGCGTGTGACGAGGAGGAGTTGCGTGTAAGAAAAAGGGATGGGCGAGGAGGAGGATTATGAGGAGCTCAGGATAGGAGGAGCAAAAGAAGAAAGGCAGTGATGGCACCAATAACATTCAAGTTGAACCCTCGCTCTGAACCAGTGGCCTATGGAGCGCCAAGCAAGCACAAGAGCGACGCAAAACGTAGTTACACGCTGGGCTTAGGACGCCTTCGAACCATAACTAACATCGCAAATAAAGACAAGCAGATCCGATGCTGCAATTTTGGAGGAGCGGCGTGATACTGTAATACACTCTTGGTGGCCTGGAGACGAAATAACTGGGGAGTACACGCATCATAGCCGCGAGCGGAGGATTGAACGCGAGTGTTCACATCAGAACTCCCTCCACTAATCAAATGCAGCTATGTTTTTGTTCTAAGATTAGCCCTGGCAGCTCTTCTGGGCTTTGCGCGACGGGTTTTGCCCAGACGTAAGCTCCCCGAAGACGACTGGCCCCCAAAGACGGGTCGACCTTGGGTATTGCACGGGCCCGTTCGCGCCCAGATTGATGGAACCTCTCAGGTAGAACGCCTCTGTTCAAGGTCCCATGGCCATTGCGACGCAGCATGCATGGAATTTAGGCCCCCCAAAACAGAGGTCGACCTGGAATGTTGCACGGGCCCGTTCACGCTCAGACTGGTTTGCTCGCTCATTTAGAGCGCCTGTATCTGTTGATGCACGTGTCTATGTTGAGCTCTTGGGCCTCCGAATAATGGCCAACCTGGGGTCTGACACGGGCACGTTCGCGCCCAGATTGGTGGGACCTCTCAAGTAGAACGCTTGCTTTGTGGGGAGACACGTGTCTGTGTTCAGAACGCCCATGATCACCGCGATGCAGCAGGCATGGCCGTTGGGCCGCCGAAAAGGAAGCCCGACCTGTTCAGAGCAACTGATGGCGGCACAGAGAAACGGAGGGCAGTGCTCGCACTCGGACTCGCTCTCCTCGGGACGTATCCAGAGGCGTGTCAAAAGGGACGCGCACCATCCTCTAGCGGCACGCACGGGATGCACCTGAGGCGGTCCTGGAACACCCCATGGTCTGGACCTGGGGCGCACCATCCTCGGGCGGGCAAGCTCGAGATGCACCAGGATGGTCCAGGGACGCACCATTGTCTGGACCTGCGGCGCACCATCCTCGAGCGGGCACGCACGGGATTAGGACTATCGACTGCTACTACGGAAGCGCAGAGTCCCAGATGCCCTGGAAGCCATCATGCTCGACGAGGCCTCCAAGAAGGCAGCGTATGGTAGATGCAAGGCACGGCCATGCGAGACACTTGAGGAAGTACCTGCTGATGGTGATGATGATGATGATGATGATGATGATGACGATAATGCTGGTGAGGAGGAGGAGGAGGAGGAGGAGGAGAAGGAGGAGAGGGAGAATAAGGAGGAGGAGAAGGAGGAGGAGGAGGAGGAGGAGGGAGAGCAACAGGACCATAGTAAACCCACGGTGCATCAACGATGCTGCAATACACCGTCCAGTCCCGAGTCTCCCTCCCGATAAGTCCTTGCAAATATTCCTCTCCACTGCGGGAAGCACCCGCCCTTGACTGACGAACGCCCAAAGCGCCTGCCACTCAGACAAAAATCCCGTTTTGCGAGATCTCCCCCTCGTCCTTTCAGCTTTAAAAGACGCAGGCCGGAAGGATTAGAAAGTTCACGGACGTGTCCAGAGCCGCTCTCCATCCAGGTGGTTGCTGCGCAGTCTGGCAATCCAGGTCGTATAATTTGTGGAAGCCGCAAACAAAAAGTGCATTTGGAAAACGTACTGGCCGCCTTCCTCGTAGCTGTCGGAAGCTAACAAACGAATGTGCGCGGCGTTGCGGAAAGAACAGCATGTTAACCTCCCTGGACTTCCATTTGTGTAGCTCTTGGACTTCTTTAGTTTCCCAAGCGAAACGCCCGGTCAGGCCTACGGACACGCCTGGTGGTTCGACGAAAGGGAATTCTTAAAAGGAAAAGGGATGGAGGAGGCGGAAGGACAAGGAGGATGCACAGCAGAGCGATGTCGACCAGAGCGCATCTCCTAGCATGGGCTGCGAAAGATGATCGCGCTGCGCTGCCGCATGGCGCTGCTGTCTCGTCCACAATTGGTCGCCCCACTGCTGTCAGGGGAGATGCGGAATCGAGCAGGGCGGCCAGCAGAGGTGAGGAGTGGGGGCAGGGCATCCGCTGGCCGCTGGGGCCATGCGACAAGGAGTAAGCTAACACGGGCGATGCGTGCCAGGAGGGCAGCGGCGGGACTGAGGTCAGACCGAGTGGGGAATAGCTGCAGCAGCAGCGAATGCACCCCTGACCCATCCAAGTGTCAACCTGACGCAACGCTGTCCTGGCAGAGATGGTCTGGAGCGCCGCCTGCAACGCAGCGAACTGCACGTTGCTCGGGTCAGGCTCCTTCTAGATTGGTGGTGGTGGGGGGCGGGGCGTGGGTGGGGGGATCCTCCTTTTCCTCCCCCTCCTCCTCCTCCTCCTCACCCCCCTCCTCCTCCTCCTCCTCCTCCTCCTCCATTTCCTCCTCCTCCTCCTCCTCCTCCTATTCCTCTTTCTGCAATATGATAAGATCATGTTTTCCCTGGAGGCTCCCTGGAGACGAACGATCCTTGAGCCAAACGCCGTCGGCGGGAGGAACGTCGAGTTCCCAGGAATCCTGCCATCAGCCTGCTGCCTAACTTTTGCTGTCACTGCCATGCTGCTCCAGGCGTTGGGGTTCATAATCCCCCCCCCCTCGGCGACGAGGCCTCTGAATGCGCTGGGCCAGGCAAACCTTCAAGACGATTACTGATGCAACAGGCCGACATCAGGCAGCTGGGCTAACAGCAGACTAGCCTGAGCGAAAAAAAGCGAGGTGCGCAGATGACTGAAAGGCCCAAACGTGTGCCAATACGACCGCGATAACAGGAGCTAAGTGAACCGCAACCTGGTTTAACCGCAGAAGCGTAAGCAGAGCAAGCGATAGCGCCAGGCTGCCCTCGTAAGGTCTCCAACCTAAGCGGGTTGTGCACCAGACGTCAGACAGCGTGAGGCTCTCTTCCTTGAGTAACGTAGTTACTGGAAACAATGCCGACGGGCAAAGCACAACAAGCAACATTATGCTAATGGAGTTTCCCACATAAGGATCTTGAGGGCTTCGTGGGATCAATGAAGCGAAATAATAACAAAATTAATGGAATGACCATCGCAAGAGTTCGTGCGAAAGAAAAGGGCAGACGAAGGCAAGGAGGAGCGGCAAGGGAATTACACCTGATACATAACATGGTTTTCGAATCCCCCCCTCGCTCAAGCGGGGCCTCCCTGGACGAGTGGGAAGGGCACCACACCATATGAATAACATGGCTTTCGAATACCCACCTCGCTCAGACGGGGCCTCCTTGGAGGAGTGGGAGGGGCACGACACCTGATGCACAACATTGTTTTCGAATGACGTCCTCGCTCAGGCGGGCCTCCCTGGAGGAGGGGGAGGGGCACGACTCCTGATACATAACATGGTTTTCGAAAACCCTCCTCGCTCAGGCGGGGCCTCCTTGGATTTTTCTTTTCCCCCCCCCGCGTGCTTTGCGAGTTGGCCATGAGTCTATTCTGTGAGCTGACGCGCAACTATACCTCTTTGCAACCCCTTACCGAGGTTCGTCGGTGCTGGTGAGTCGCTCAAGAGGATGTGGCGCACTACATGCGCGCATTTATGGGGAGTGGGAGGGTAACGAAACCTGATAAGCAACATGGTTTTCGAATATCCTCCTCGCTCAGGCGGGGCCTCGCCCGGAGGAGTGGGAGGGGCACGAAACCTGATACATAACACGGCGTTCGAATACCCTCCTCGCTCAGGCGGGGCCTCCCTGGAGGAGTGGGAGGGGCGCGAAACCTGATACATAGCATGGTTTTCGAATGCCCTCCTCGCTCAGGCGGGGCCTCCCTGGAGGAGGGGGAGGCACGAATCCTGATACATAACATGGTTTTCGAATACCCTCCTCGCTCAGGCGGGGCCTCTCTGGAGGAGTGGGAGGAGCACAACACCTGCAAAATCCGCCGGCCCCCTTTTGGGGCCACCGGCTGTAGGCCGGGAATTCGCAGTTTCCTGTACCAGTTGCAGCTTCCAATTTCCACTGTTACAGTTCTGCTTCTTGCTGCTTGCTGTTCCTTGTTGACTTCTTGCTGCTTACCGCTCCTTGTTGATGGACCGCGCGAGGGGGGGAGGCCCAAAACGGGCGTTTTTACCACGGCCAAAACAAGTTCTCAGAATTTCTGGGGGGGTAAAGATTTGCACCCCTCACGCAGATCGGCGGGATCAGGGTGCCAAAACACATAGGATTTGCCACATTTCTGAAATTCGGTGGCACCCCTCACGCAGATCGGCGGGGTCAGGGTTCAAACACACAGGGGATTTGCCACATTTCTGAAATTCGGTGGCACCCCTCACGCAGATCGGCGGAGTCAGGGTCCAAAAACACAAGGGATTTGCCACATTTCTGGAATTCGGTGGCACCCCTCACGCAAATCGGCGGGGTCAGGGTCCAAACACGCACGGGATTTGCCACATTTCTCAAATTTGGTGGCACCCCTCACACAGATCGGCAGGGCATGTCCAGGCCGCGCAGGGGCATGGGAGGGGAGGGCGAGGGTTGATCCATACCTCCTGCCCGCTTCCCTCCCCCTCCACCAGGAGGGGCAGCGGCCACGGCGAAAAGTGTGGATCCTCAACTCCTCCTCTCCTGTGCCTCCTGCCTCGGTTCGGGCGTCTGGCAGTCCTCCCGCGCATTGCCCGCGTAGCCCGCTGGCGCATCATCCTTCGGGCTTGTCGGATCCGTTAGAAATACTGGCCGAAGCTGTAGCACCTGCTGGTGCCGCAATTCTTTGCGCCGGCACGTCTGCTCTCGAGGAAGACACCTCTGTCTCGGCCGCGGGGTACACATCGCGGGGACGGTGACGCCTTTGAAGAAGCTGGGCGTAAAGACTTGGGCATCCGGGTTGAAAACAAAACGCGACTGAAAATCAGACTGTGCCCCATGAGGATGTAGGCTGACGACGCAGGAGGGCGTCTCTGGTGATCACGGGTTTGAATGTCGCTGACAACGGCATCGAATAATGTGAAGCAGGGGACGCTGGTGATGTGTCGCACCGTCTTGTACGTCGGATCCAAGGCATGCAGCTTCTGGGTAAGGGCGTCCGGAAAGTAGCCCCAGGCGCCGAAATCGCCGAGCAGTTTGCGCGAGCCCTTCAACGTGTGAGCCCAGCTTGCCAAACACATGCCGGAATAACAAACCATGTAACTCGTACACCAGCAGGGGCGCCGCCAGTGGAGGCGTCGCGGCAGACATGACGTGGGAATAAGATTCTTCTCGTGTGAACACTTTGTAGTCTTACAACCTTGCAGGGTCGAATGCAGCCCGTGTGCGCGGGCTAGACCTTGAGCCAAAAATTGCTACAGACTTCTACTCTTCCTCGTCCTCCTCCTCGTTCTCCTCGTTTTCTTGGAAAAGCATGACGGGTGGATGGCCTGAGAAAAGGGAGGCAAAAGCACGGGGCCGTTCCAATCCAGATCATCGGCTTCCTGTTGAAAGGGCGGGAGTGGGGAGTGGGGAGGGGGAACAGGAAAAATGCGGAAGGAGGAAGGGAGAGGGAGGATGGGAGGGATGGAGGGAGGATGGGAGGGATGGAGGGATGGAGGGAGGATGGGAAGGATGGGAGGGATGGAGGGGTGCGACGATGGGATGGATGGGGGGTGGCGGCCGGAGGAGAAGCGAGTAGGGCGGAAGTGATGGCAGGAAGGGCTGGAACTAACGAGACACGTTGGCCATCCATTAGCGCAGAAGCCCCTCTTCCTCCTCCTCCTCCTCCTCCTTCTCCTCCTCCTCCTCCTCCTCCTCCCTCCCCTCCTCCTCCTCCTCCTCCTCCCTCCTCCTCCTCTCCTCCTCCTCCTCCCTCCTCCTCCTCCTCTTCCTCCTCCTCCTCCTCCTCCTCCTCCTCCTCACCCTGAGCTGCGGGAGTAGGCAGAAAACTGAAGCCAGTGCCGTCAAACTGCGGTCGCAATGAAGCATGAGCGGGGTGTCATGCTTTTTGCAGCGCGCACGTGCCAACTTCCTGCTGCTGGAACGACGCTGGATGCATGTTTGGATGCGCCGTATGTCTTTCTAGCAGGGCGTAGTGATTACGTGGGGTTCTGGGCGTTGTCCCACACGACCACACTGAACACCAAAGCTTTCTCACCTCCCTGCGAGAAGCAAGCTCGTACGTTTGGCTCTGAGGGGATTGACACACCACTCCTCACGTTCCCCGTTCTCGTCCACCTGCTCGTGACTCCCCTCCTCGCCATCAGCTTCCCCCCATTTGCGTACGGTCGGGGACTTGTGCTTCGCGTGTCGCCGCGGCGGCCCCAGCGACACGCCATGTACCCTGCTGGCGGAGAGCGTGTCGTGGAGCCCCGCGTTACGGCAGGCTGGGAGAAACTCGGGAAGTTGACGCTCGCGGGCTGGGACGTAGACAGCGAGTCGTGCCGAAGCGCGGTAGGCCACAACCGGCGGGGCGACGCGCTAAGCCAAAGTTCCCGACCGTATTCCTACCCTTCTATTCCTGACTGTCGCTCGCCGCTGCAGCTCTAGCCAGCCAGCACTCTCTTGACAGCGCTGTCTGGTAAAGCTGCAGGGCCACAGGGTGCTGAGGACGGCGAAGTGTGAAGTCGCAGCGCAAGACCAATGGGAAGAACACGCCCCACGCGAACGCTCGGGGCAACTGCTAACGCAATGCGCTTCTCTCCTGTTTTGATCGTTGCGCGCAACATGCTTTTCTACATCGGGTCGGGCGAACGGCACGAGGACCACGAGTAAGACATCCACTTCTTGCCTGTATCTGTTCTGACCTCGAGGGGGGTGGTCGAATGTAAGGTGGGCAGCCACAGCGCCAACGCACACCCGACCTCTGCAGCATCATTACATGGTGCCCGCGTGCGTCAAAGGTGTCGGGGCCAGCTCGGCTAAGACTTCCATGCGCCCAATGTCCGCTGTGTCCTTGCGCGCTGAGAGCTCTGGTTGCGCGACAGCTGCGGAAGCGTAGAGAGCTTGGATTCTGTTTCGCATACATGTCTCATCAGCAGAGCACGGAAGGTGGGAAGGGGTGAGGCATGGATGGAGGGGGAGGGGGGAGGGATGGAGGGAGGGGGACGGAGGGAGGGAAGGGCGGGGAGGGTGGCGGCAAGGGAGGGAGGAGGACGCGGGGAGGAGGGTTGTGCAGTTGGCATGTGCCTGGGCAGGTCTTTCTCTTTTTCTTGCCCGTTGCCCCTCGCAGCGGGTGGGACGAGAATTTCGTCCCGCCCGCGGCCCCCTTTCTCATCAACCCCGCTCTCCTGTAGTGCCTCTTCTCCGCTGCTCTTTCCTGCCTGCTCCCACGAGCCTGTTGCCTCGGTGTTGCTGCTGCTTCTGCTGGTCCTCCCTCTCCTTCTCCTCCTGCTCCGCTCCTCCTCCTCCTGCTCCTCATGCTCACCTCCTGCTCCTCCTCCTGCTCCTGCTCCTCCTCCTGCTCCTGCTCCTCCACAAACTTCTCACCCTGCTCCTCCTGCCCACCTCCTCCTCTTCCTGCTCCTGCTGCCGCCCCTCCTGCTGCCTCTGACCATATGTCATGTTGCGCTATCTTCGCGCCGCTGTGGCCCAATACGCACGGTCCAAGAGAAATGACATAGCCATACCAGAGAACCAGGGAGGAGGAGGAGGAGGAGGAGGAGGAGGAGGAGGAGGAGGAGGAGGAAGATTATCGGGGGGGGGGGATGGAAATGAGTGCAGGTGGGGGTCAAGGGGAGGACGGGGGGGAGACGAAGGGTGCGAGGGAGAGTGGCGCGAAGCAGAACAATTTCCCGAGCCGAGACGAATCGTGACAGGAACGAACCGAGCACTGCAACTTCTTTCATGCCCAGAGAAGCTGCCCTGCAATTTGCGAAACAGCGAGCGCACGCATCGGCGATCTCGGATAGGGTGCGGAACAGCAGCAGGAACAAGAGAGGGACAAGGAGGCGCAGGCGAAAGAAAATAAATATGTCCAGTCCTCCCAGCTGAGCCACTGGTGAGAAAAGAAGATGACGTAATTTCGCTTCAAGAACGCCTCGGCGGCGTTGGACCGGGGGGCTGCTATCAGATCTTCCACTTTCTTTGCCTTACTCCTCCCCCGCTTCGTCGTCGTCCTCCTCCATCTTCCATCCTCCATATTCCCCCCTCCATCCTGCGCCATTCCTCATTCCCTCCGTCTCTTTCCACTGCAAACGACGAAGAAAGGATGACAGCATTTTTGGTTTGGAGAACTTCGCTACACAAGCGAAGAACAAGGCGCATCTATAGGATGCTGCAATATCGCGAGCTGCCGTCTTCGCCGTTCCCCAGGACACTTGCAATGATCGGCCACCCTGCCGCGACGCGCTGAACGGAGCGTCCTCAAGTCCCTTCGAGCCCTCAATATCGAATATTGCGGGTGCCCTTGAAGCGATCCAAGACCCGGACTTCAAGAATTGCTGGGCGTTCTTAAGCGCTCTAGGGACTTCTTGCATGACTTTTCCAAGAGCCTCAGGAGCGTGGATTTGAAGCGAATCTTCCGACGTTCCTGAAATGGTCCCAGAGGGCCTTCCTGGGTGGGCCGTCTGGGGGCCAGCCCAAGGGGTCAACATTAAAAGACAACTCGCCGAGCCAACCCGAACAAAAGGCGAAGACATATCGGGCGTAGCCCCATAGAAATTACAAGGGGATGCGCCACACATGTGATGCAAGATCGATGGGGTTGCGCCATGGGTTGTGCCGCAGCCGCAGGTTGCGACATCCATGGGTTGTCTTATCCGCTCACCTTTTCCCAAAACAGTGTTTGCACTTAGGGGGTCTTTCTTCTCTCTGCAAGGAATTGGTTGGGTCCGCAGAGGTTTCGCCGCGTCGCCGCCCGTGGCCGCCTCGTGGCCGCCGCGTTGCCGCCCGTTTGGGGGATCCGCCGATCGCCGTGTCGCCGCCTCGTGGACGCCTCGTTGCCGCACACATGGGGGGTCCGCCGAAGTTTCGCCGCGTCGCCGCCTGGGGCCGCAGCCGCCCACAAGTTATGTGGCACAACCCATGCGACCACAATGGCGCTTACTGCTGGGAACCTCCCATCGCGTATCCCAGGCTGAGCTGGCCCGCGGGCACTTCAGCGCGGGTCGGTGGCCCGGGCGGGCGCTAATTAATGATGACGTCGGCAATTGCGGCAACGATGATGATAGTAGCGGTGGTGGTGACCATGATGGCTAGGACGGCGAGAAGGCCAATGACGTCGACAGTGACGACGGCAACAATGATGATGTTCATGCGCCAGTGATGAAAGTGTGTGTGTGTGATAACGATGGTAATGCTAACGATGATGATGATGATGATGATGATGATGATGATGATGATGATGATGATGATGATGATGAAGATGATTATGATGGTGGTGATGGTGATGATGATTCTGGTGATGATGGTGATGAAATCGGCAATGGCGGCGATTGACGATGATGCTAACGCTGGTGATGCGATAGCGCTGATGGGCCAATGGGGTGATGAGAGAGTGCGCGTGCGCAGACATTCAAGTCATCTGGTAAACTCTCAATTGAATCGCATGTCTGAACGAATTCCACACGCGCGCGCGGCGGCGCGCGCGCGCGTGGCCCGCATGTTCTCATTTGGGACGGATTCGCGAACAACGCGGATGCACTGCATGGTGGGGTAAGGAATGCGAGGTCTGGACGAGATCGTGATTATCATATGGCGAAGTCTGGTTTGTCCATGCAGCGCCCACTGCACCAATAACAAACAAATCGGCGATGACGTCGGCCGGGTCGCGGCACGCCGGGCAGTGCACCAGGTGGGTGTTGGTGTTCTGCATAAGCTGTAAGTGGCATGCCTGGTGCAAGATGCAGCAACACTGTAGGCGTACAACTCGATCACTATGTACGAAAGCCTCGATAATTACAGATAAGACATTCCCGATCGTCGCCGTTGAAGACCGTGACGCGGGGCCCAGCCGGTGCGGCAGCCGGCAAAGGAGGTGGATCAGTAGGGGTTTCGGTCCAATTCTGTGCGGCTCGTCGTCGCTGCCCGTCCTGCTGTCGTAGGAGCTCGAGCGCAAGCTGAGTGCTGTGGAGCTTGTCGAGGTGTCGTCTTTGCGCGTGGCCCAGTGCGGGGCCTCCTCCGCGTTCGGATCGCACGCCACTCGGCATCCAGGTGTCGCGGCCGGCGAACCACATGGCCACTCTCTCAGATGGCTGGCTTACGTCAATCGAGACGCGTTGGTTGAATGGAGCCAGGTCGCCGGGGGACTCCGACAGCGGTGACGACGCGGCTACCGGCGCAGACTGTCGTGCCCGCGAGGAGCTCGACCCACGTGGCGCGTTGATGCCGAGCGTTGCGACTGATGGCATGTAATAAGCGCGGATGCTGATGGCGCTGCGCACGCCGCGGCAGCTGCGCCCCCCGCCCCTGCCGCGCGGACTAGGCTCATAGTTGCTCTATCCGTCGATCGAGCAGGGCCCTGTCGCGCGCGGCCAACGAGGTCGTCCAACTCCTGGCGTAGTCGCAGAAGTTCGCCCTCACGAGGGTTGGGCAATGCTGATTAAGACGATGAAGTATCCGCTCAATTTGACCAATGGGTCTGTCCAGCTGCCTGCCAGGATCGGTCGGCCGAGGCGCTGGCCGCGTAGTTGTTGAAGCTGGTCTTTGGCTGGCCGCCGCTCTAGGGATCGGCGCTCTGCGCGTGGTCGCCCCTGTCGGGGCCCAGGACCACAGGTTCGGGCATTCCGCCGGTTGCTCTGGTCATCCAAACCGAGTGGGCGCCTGGTGCTGGCCTTTGAACGGCTGGTCCAGGCGCTCCCTGGTGTCCCAGGCGCGTGAGTGGCGAGAACGCCGGCGTCGGTGGCGGCGGTGCCACTGAGGCTGGGGCGCCGAGGAAGAGGGCTCGCCCTTGATGGCGTCGACAAGGGCAGGCGCGTGCGAGGTGCTCCTCTGAGTCGCATGCGTGGCACTTGAAACCTTGAGACGTGTCCCGTCTGGACCCAGTGGGATGCCTTGACGGCCGGATCCCAGCCCGCTGGTCCGATGCTCGCCCTTTCCCCCGCCCTCGCCTTTCCCGGGGCCGGCGGAAATCGCCCGGAGGTCAGCGTCGGGCAATCGTGCTGGGAAAGCGCGGTAGCCTTTTTCCGTGGCCTTTGCCCTTGCGATCGGTGACCGTCCGTGCGCGGCGCGCGAGCGTTATTGTTGTTGAAGCGGCGCCGTCGGGACTTGGCGTGCTCGCAGGACCAAGGGATGCGCGCGCTGCGCTGTTCCAGAGGAGCTTCGCGCAATTTGGCTTCGTCGGCAGCGACTTCCTCGCCGAGTTAGCCGACGGTGTCGGAATATGTGCCGGCGTCGAAACCTGCTGCTGGATTTCCCGCCTGCAATGCTGCTGAGCCTGCGAGGGCGGCAGCTTGTGCTGCAGGCAGACTCAGCGCCGTTCCAAGGGCTGAAGGGCCCGTGTCATCCCAGCTCGATCCGGCTTCAGTGCCGCGCGCGCTCAGATCCCGATCGCGCGCGGGCGCGCCCGCGAGAAACGCTTCTGCCTAGCTGGCCTATGTGCGCCACGTCGAGTAGGCCACGTCGCAGTGCTGAAGGGCCATGGCGAGCTGGAAATTCGACGCGCCCACCGCGCGCAGCAACAGATGGCTCAGGCCTGAGTAGCCGATCGTGAGTTGACTGGCCTGCTGCGCCCTGTTGCGGAGGATGTCAAACCTGGTGAGGAGGTCGTGCAGTTCGCTCCTGCGGCAATCGGCTGAAGTTCATCAGGGCCGATGCTGCCTGCGCGCGGCCCCCCTCTCCAAGCTGGCCCCGCCGTTCGGCCGAGCTGTGCGCAAGGCATGTCATGGGCGGCGCTGGACTGCCGTCGATGAGACCACCTTGGCAGAAGACAGCCCGAGGCCACTCGCCCGCGCACTCGCGAGCCATGCCAGTCAAGCGTGACGAGACGTAGGCCGTCCGGCGAAACTCGTCGATGTAGTTCGCCACCGACCAAATCATCGCCTCCCGCGCCCAACTTCGGAAGAGCACGCGAGTCGTGCCTCGAGTTCCGAGGCGTCGCGCGTTGCCGCTGCCGCCGCCGCCGCCTGCCTCCGCGCAGGCGACGCAGCTGATGGCAGCGGTCGCGCCCACTCCAACGGCCTTCCATCCAAATTGTAGCCCCCTCCAGACGTCGATGAAGCGTGGCGGCCCTGGTACCCGCAAACGGCGGTGTTCTGGGAGCGAACCTCGAAGCCATCGCGTGTTTTTGTTCCTGGCACGCTCCTCCTCAACGGCGTATTGGGTCTTCTCTTTTGTCGCGCGATTGGGGCGCGGGCTGCGCTCGACGCACCCCGCCACATAGTGCCAAGAGAACCCGTCGTACGTCGCATTCTCACTGTACTGCGCGCTGCCGGCTTGCAAAGGGAGGTCTGTCCTGGCGCAGGGTGCCCGTAGGTAGCGATGACGGTCATGTCCTGAAGAATCGATAGCGAATAGTCCCAAGCTTGTGTGGCGGTCCCCTGGAAGGATGGCAAAGCAATTGCCCCACCCTCCTTTGTATTCCCGCTCTTGCCTGCATGCGCCTCTCCCAACTTTCATGACATAATCGTGGCTGGATCGGGGCCCTTTGCCGACGCCGACGAATGCGCATGCAATGAGGGCGATGCGTCCTTGTCCTCTTCCCCTCGGGCTCTCCCAACACACTTGCGCGTAGCTCGGGGCCCTGTGCCGACGCTGTGAGTGTGGAAATCAAACCGTTCGACGGTCTGACGTTGACGGCAGCACTCGCAGGCGGGTGCTGTGGCAACGACGGGCCCCCGAGCCTATCGAACACAGTTCGAACCAGCCCGGGGGGGAAGGCGCGGGAGGCGCTGTCGTTATGATGCATGTTCTTGGATTCGTAGATGTGCTGGGACTCCTGCGCCGATGATGGCGGCTGGGCCTGACTGGCCCCGCCAGCCCCTCGAGGCACGGCGCCTGCCGGGGCGAGGTAGATGATCAGGACGAGTGCAGAGCGAGTGCGCGTGGTATGCGTTGTAGAGCGGGTAGAGTGGTCGCCAGGGGCGTGGGGCATCGCCGCGCGGGCCATGGCGGCTGTGGCGGTGGAGCGAGGTGCTCCGCTACCAATTAAACATGTAAGGCGGTGATGTGCTTTGTACAGCGGAATGGTGCGGATGAGGTACCTGTATAACGATGTAAAGCGGGCGCGGAAATTGCAACCTGTAAGTGGCAGCAGAAACCACCCCCAGAGGCACAGGCAAGGACGGGGTGAAAAACGAAGGCAACAGTGCACTGGACAGATTAGCTACCCTTCGAATGTGAGGAGGAGGGAAGGAGGAGGAAGAGGAGGAGTGAGAGGAGGAGTACGATTAGGAGGAATATGATTAGGAGGAGGAGTGCACGCAGCCGAGGGGGCGCGTCCACAAGCTCAGGCGACGGCCGCGGAGGGGCGCGCCGCACGCGACCGAGCCCTCAGGCCCGCCGCCGGTGAAGTCGCAGTCGATGGTACCAACGCGCCGGCGGGGCCGCCACGGCCGCTGTCAAGGCCCCTTTGGGCCTCCTGCGAGCGCTCCAGGGCGCCCTCCGCACCCGCGCCCAGGGCGCCTTCCAGAGGTAACGTTTTTGTCTTGTGCACGCCGGGGCCGCTGCCAGAGCCGCCGGGTCTGGGCGGCGCGTCGCGCTGGGCAGGCGGCTGGGGGGCAGCCGCAGCCGAGGACGACTGCGCCGACGCCGCAGCGGGCACTTGGCGGTCGCGGAGTCGATGTAGGGCCGCGAGCCGGATCCCCGAAGCCGCGTCGAAGGGGACGACACGGCCGTGCTTGTCAAAGAACTTCTTGTGCAGGTGGTAGATGTGGAAAGCCAGCACGACCCCCCGAAGGGCAGTCCCCCGGGACCATTCGCCCGCATGCTCGGCCGCACTGCCAAGCCCGAGGCGGCCAAGCGGCCCCGGCAGGAAGGAGCGCGGCAGGGCCACCCAGTGCCATAGCCGCCTGCACACGAGGTAGTGCCTGATGTCGTCCGCCGCGCACTCGCAGCCGAACAGGCAGGGCCGGGGCGTCATGATATGTATGCGGCCAGCCGTCGTCCACCCACCTCCCAGCGTTTTGAGAGCCGCCCATTGCCACGACGGCGGCGCCCGCACCAGCACGGCTCGCAGCGCGGACCAGCGAGCCTCCAGGGCGGGAGGCACGCCAAGGCCCCAGGCACGGAGCCGCTTCCGCAGGGTCGTCACCAAGGACTCAGGGAAGAGCGACGCAGCGAGAGAGCGGCAGAAACACGTCTGGAGCTTGGGTTTCCGCATCATCATCGCAGCCGTCCGCTTCTCCGCCTCCGCCGCGGCGATGGCTGTCTGGAGCCGCCGCGCGGGAACTTGCAACTGCGCCTCCCCCGCCACCAAGCTCGCGTATTCCTGCGCAATTGCGCGCGGAAGAGCCCAGAAAGGCGGGGAGAAGTCGCCCGCCCGCCATCTCGTCACCGGGAGTTGCTCTTCGGCCTCGGCGGCGAGCCTCTGCAGGGCCGTCCGCCATCCCGTAACCGTGGCTGTGGCCGCGCGCCAGCGGACGGACAGCGCATACGCCTGGAGCGCTGCAGGCGCCGGAGACTGCAGCCAGTTCGTCAGGGCCAGCAGGTCCGCCTTGCGAAAAGTGGAGGGCGGGAGGCGCAGGACCTTGTGCAGCAGCAGATGCTCGCGCCTGAGGGCCGCAGGGAGCATGGGGAAGAGTTGCGCCACGTACGACAGGCAGCTGACGCTGGCGGTGTTGTAAGCCCGCACCGAGAGGCTCGAGGGCGAGCCCGATGCGCCGATGGCGTGGCTGCGGCGCCACCACTTCATGCAGGGCAGCTCCCAGACCAAGTCGAGGGACACTGCTGGCCCGATAAAGGCCCCGAGGAACTTGGCCTTGCCGTCAATCTGGAAGAAATCCCAGCCGCTCCGCACCTCAGCCAGCCTCGCGCGCAGCGCCTGCGCCAGCGCCGCGTCGGAGGCGGCCCAGAGGGGGACCATGGAGGAGGAGGAGGAGGAGGAGGAGGAGGAGGAGGAGGAGGAGGAGGAGGAGGAGGAGGAGGAGGAGGAGGAGGAGGAGGAGGAGGAGGATGTGAGAGGAGGAGGAGGAGTGAGAGGAGGAGGAGGAGGAGGAGGAGGAGGAGGAGGAGGAGGAGAGGAGAAGGAGGAGGGTGAGGATGAGCAGGAGGAGGAGGAGGAGGAGGAGGAGGAGGAGGAGGAGGAGGAGGAGGAGGATAGAGGTGGGAAGTGAGGGAGAAGAAAGAAACGAATAACATAAAGAGGGCCGTGGATGTTCTCTTCCGCGTTTTTGTCGATCACTCGCGGATGCAAGCAAGCTGCACAACATGATGCTTCGAGCAGGATGCAAGCGGTGCCAGTGCTTTGACAGTGCCAGCCTCGAAATATGCACGAAACATCGAGGCGCGAATCTTCACACAAAAAAACAGCGCCGCACAATTCGCAGCTCGCACAAGTCGGGCTGCACGACACGACGAGAGAGCGGCAAAACGATCGGGAACTTTTGCTCGACGTGTCGCGGCGGCGCCCCAGCGGCCCCGGCAACATGCCACGCCCTGCGAACTGACAGCGTGTCGTTCCGCTCCGCGCGGCGGAAGGTCGGGACGTTAACGCTCGGCGGCTGGGGCGCGGTTGGCGTGAGCGCCGAAGCGTGGTGGGCCAGAACCGGCGGCGCGACACGCCAAGCAAATGTTCCTGACCGTGTAGACGGCTACAGGATTGTCGGCATGCGGCATGCCGACAAGCCTGCAGCAGTCCACGCTCGCACGAGTGTCCCCCACTAGCGTGTCCTTTTCGCGCGGTGGCGTGCGGGAGCGTGTGGAGGGCAAAACACAGGAGCAGGCGAGCTGGCTTTTCCTCGCCGCGCGGTGGCTGGCACACACACACACACACGTACGCAACGCACACAGGCACACACACAGAGACACACACACACACACACACACGCACACACGCACACGCACACGCACACGCACACGCACACACAACACACACACACACACTCGGTCCCACGGCCCTCCCCGTTCGGGGGTGGACAGGCACCCCTGTAGCAAAGCACCCTTACTAGAAACGACCCAGGACCAGACCCGGCGGACGCAGGCCCGCAAACATTGCGGCCACAGCGCCTTCTCCAGCATCGACGCAAGGCAATTCGATAATCGGCTTGGGAGGCGGGAGTTCTACGGTAGGCAACTTGTGCTAAATGTGTCGCGGCGGCGGCCCCGGCAACTCGCTATGCCTTACAATATTACAAGTGAATAGCGTGTCACGCCGATTCGCGGGACGGGAGGTTGGGAAAGGCTCGGGACGTCGACGCTGGGAGGTCGGGAAGTGGATAGCGTGTCGCGCTGTCGCGCTGCAGCGTGGTGGGCCAGATCCAGCAGAGCGACACGCTATCCGAAAGTCCCCTACATACATCAACCTCCAGCCTCGGGGATCTACTGACTCGGGTCGATCCAAACCTGAGTCAGTCGGGCTCTGCAGGATTCTGCGGGATGCTGCAAGATCCTGCGCCCTAACCCGGGTCAGTGCACCCCTGGCCCTGAAGGATCCTGCAAGATCCGGCGCTCTGGCTGACCCCCGTCTGCACCGACCCCCGTCTCCAGGCTCCCGACAACCCGTTGGCGTTTGCCAACTGGCGGCGCAACCTGCCGGTCAGCCTCCCGCCCTACCGCGGGCGCAGGCAGCCGCCGCCGCGCCCCCAGCGGCCGCCCGAGGGCCGAGCCCCGCGCCCCTGGCTACGGGGCGCGGGGCGCGGGGCCGTGGCTCCCGTGCAGCTCGGCCGCCGACGGCTCGACGGCCCGCGGCGGCGGCCCTGTGCGCTCCGTGGGCGCGCCCGCGGCCGGCCTTTTGGAGGGGGGGGGGGGGGCGTGCGGCAGTCGAGACGGCGAGAGAGTGACGACCCGCTCCATTCTGGGCCTGGGCGGCCTGGGCCTGCCCCACGCAGCTCTGCGATCATCGCGGGGGGCGGGGGCGGAGGGGGGGAGGAGCGGGAAGCCCGCGGGGGTTGCCGAAGGCGCCCCTGGCCCAAAGTGGCCCCAGCTTTTTGCCTCGTTCCGGGCCCCTGCGGGCCACTCTGGGCCTCGTGATGGGACGCCCTAGAGAGGCCGTGGCAGCGACGCCTTGGACCAGGGACATTGCTAGCCATACCCGAGAGGAGGGCAAGAATGGTGGGTGGGGGGTGGGTGTTGGGACCGGAAAGAGGGGACGAAGACGAAGAGAGCAAGGAGGGCGAGGAGGGCGAGGAGGAGGATGACGATGATGATGATGATGATGATGATGATGATGATGATGATGATGATGATGATGATGATGATGATGATGATGATGATGATGAGGAGGAGGAGGAGGAGGAGGAGGAGGAGGAGGAGGAGGAGGAGGAGGAGGAGAGGTGGGGCAGCCGAGGAAGCGGAGGAGAGAGGAGACAGCATAAGATAGGGGAAGGGGAAGGTAACTACAGCGGCAGCCGCCTGGCAGGCGCCGCGGGGCCGCGGACCGCGTCCGTGGGCTGCTCCCGGACCTTCCCGCGGCTCTGCAGTCCAGAGCCCAGCCGCTTCACCCACTGCCCCGCCTCTGCGTCCCACTCCCTGCAGCGGAGCGGGAAGGAAAAAGGGGTGGGGAGCGGCTGGGAGCAGGAGTAGGCGAGAATGCAAAAAGGGTGGATTGCGGTGGGGAGGAGGAGGAGGAGGAGGAGGAGGAGGAGGAGGAGGAGGAGGAGGAGGAGGAGGAGGAGGAGGAGAAGAAGGAGGAGGAGAAGGATGAAGAGGAATGTGCAGGAGGAGAGATGCCTCCAGCCTCCCGGCGGCCCCAGCACGGCGCCGCCCAGGAGGTCATAGCCCTCTGGGCTGTGCGCCAGCCCGCAGGTCTGGCCCTCCCGCACGCGGTCGAGGCGGCTCGCCTTGGCGACGCCCCAGGTGCGGGTCTGCGGGTTGTGGTACAGGAACCAGCCCCTCGTGCTCCTAAGCAGAAGAACGGCGCACGTAAACAGAAAGTTCCGAAGACTCACGCGGAATTCTTGAACCGGCGCTGGACACCCCCTCTCTGGCGCACGGACCGCGCCAGGGGCGGCGCCAGAGGCGACGCAAGGGGGGTCCAGCGCAGATCCAAGAAATCCGCGCCGACCTCCGAGAGTTGACGTTTGTGCAACTCGTTCTTCTTCGAACTCCAGAACGTCGGCTGATCGTTCACCCTGAGCTCGTCCCTTTGGCCCTCCACGAAGAGGTCGTTGAGCGCCGCCGTCTGGAAGCCCCCGAGCCTCACGGCCGGGAGGCCCGCCCGGGGAGACGATGGCTGCGGCGGCGAGCCCACTGCCGATGTGGGGGGCGGCGAGGCGCCCGCCGCACCCGCCAGCTCATCAGCTGGACTGGCAAGCTGCAGCTCGTCGTCGTAGGTCAGCCCCCGCGGACTGGCGGCGGGGACCCCCGAGCTGTTGAGCGAATGGACCACCTGCTGCATCGCAGACAACGCTCCTGATGGGAGACAACAAGATACCGATACCGCGACTCCACGGACCTCTCCTGGGATGCGTTCTGACAAAGATTTCGAAGTGGATCCAGCCGTGGCAACGAGGGAAGGGTAGAGGTATCAGTATCTGTCCCCCCGCTGACCTGAGAGGTCGAAGCTGTCGTGCTCATACGACTGCTCTGGCGCAGCAGCCTGCTCCGACGCCAGCTGCTCCGCCACCGCCAGCCGCTCGGCCGCCGCCAGCTGCAGCCGCTCCGCCGTCGCCAGCCGCTCCGCTGCCGCGAGCTGCTCCGCCGCCGCCAGCCTCTCCGCCGCCGCGAGCTGCTCCGCCGCCGACGGGGCCGCGCCGCCCTCCGCGCGTGGGCTGGCGGCGATCGAGACCAGCGAGGGTTCTGGAACGTAGCCCTGTTCCTCGCCCTGCTGGTCGCTGCACATGGACCTCGTGCCGCTTCCCCTGCCCCTCCTCCCCCGGCTCCTCCTCCTCCTCCTCCTCCTCCTCCTCCTCCTGCTCCTCCTGCTCCTCCGCCTCCTCCTGCTGCCCCTCCTCCTCCTCCTCCTACTCGTCCTCGCCCTCCTCCACCTCCATTCCTTTCCCTTACAAATAACTCCTGCCTGTCGTACCACGAGGCCGGTCGAAAGGGCGGGCCGCGCGCTTCGCCCCTAAAAATGCCTCACCAATTGTGATCCTGACGCTTCAGACTTGCAGCTTCACAAATGGAGGGCGGGTGGTTTTCAAAATGTGGCTCTCGCTTTAGCGCCTCGCACAGTCGTGTTAAACATTGCAAGAATTTCACGGGTTGATTGCAGGCCGTTTCCAATATGTGGCTCTCTCGCTTTAGCGCCGAGCACATTCGGTTCTCTAAATTAGCAAGGAGCTTCAAGGATTGAGGGCAGGTCGTTTTCAAAATGTGGCTTTCGCCTTAGCGCCGCGCATAGTCGTATTAAAAACATTGCAAGAGCTTCACGGATTGATCGCAGGTCGTTTTCGAGATGAGCTTCTCGCCTCAGCGCCGCGCGCATTCGCTTTAAACATTGGCAAGGGTTTCGCGTATTGAGGCCGGTTCCTTTTCGAAGCGTGGTTTTTGCCTTAGCGCCGCGAGCGTTCGTTTTTGAACATTCGAAAGAGTTTCACTGGTTCTCATGGTTAACGTACTAGAAACGGCGTTTTGGAGCGAGTCGGGATTGTCAGGGCACAACAGTCATATTCAATCGCTGTGTTGAAATCCCAGGAAGGCCAAAACGTAACAGTTAGATTAACTCGTGGCGTTGAACACCTGAGATTCAAATTACGGCGCACTTCAGGATTTTCCACACGGTTGTTCCCCAACGGACCAATTCCCTCGGTGGAAATGAACCCTTGCAAGGGCAAATGAAGAGGGAGCTTGGAGGAAGGGTATGTTCCAACATCGTTGATGAGCCTTGCGTTTGCACTGGTCCTCGTTCACCTCCTCGTCCTCCTCCTCGTCCTCCTCCTCCTCCTCCGCCTCCTCCTCCTCCTGCTCATCGCTCGCCCTTTGTCGCCGCCGCCGCCGCTGCCGGCGTCGTCGTCCTCCTCCTCCTCCTCCTCCTCCTTTTCCTCCTCCTCCCCCTCTTCCTCCTCCTCCTCCTCCCCTTCCCCCGCAATCACCATTCCTTTCCCTTTTGAAACTCTCCTTCCTGTCGCAAACGGGGGCCAATCGGAAGGGCGGGCCGGGCGTTTCGCCTGATACTTCTTTATCATGAGTCTGAAGCTCAGAAGTTCACAGCAGTGTCACAGATGGAGGGCGGGTCGTTTTCAAAATGTGACTCTCGCCTCAGCGCCGCGCACATTAGTTTGACAAAAAATCTAAGATGTTCACGGATTGAGGGTGGTAATTTTCAACATGTGGCTCTCGCATGAGCGCCGCGTGCATCCATCTTAAAGCATTGCAAGAGTTTCACGGATTGAGGGCGGCTCGTTTTCGAAATGTGGCTCTCACCTTAGCGCCGACAACATTCGTTTAAAACATATGCAAGAGTCTGACGGATTGAGATCGGGTCGTTTTGGACATGTTGCTATCCTTTCAGCGCCAAAGAGCGTAAATGCGTAAAGAGCTTCGCGGACCGAGGGCGGTTCCTTTTCCAAGTGTGGCTCTCGCCTTAGCGCCACACACATTAATTTTCAACACTTGCGAGGAGCTTCACGGATTGAGGGCGGATCGTTTTCGAAATGTGGCTCTCGCCTTAGCGCCGCGTGCATTCATTTGAAGAAATTTCTGTGGAATTCACGTCATCCTGACCCCAGGCGCGCGAGGCAATAGCCCCGCCGCCCGCCCCCAATTCCGTTTCAGACGATACGGGAAATCCGGCGAGTCTGGCGAATCTGGCGACGAATTCCAAACTGGCGCCCTTGCGTGGGACATCCTCAGCAAAACCGCCCCCTGAGCCTCCCCAAGGAGGCCCTCGGAGGCCTCCCTGTTCCGTTTCAGGCGAGATCCGGGAAATCCGGCGAATCCGGCGCCGAATTCCAAACCGGCGCCCACGCGTGGGACATCCTCAGAAAAAACCGCCCCCTGAGTCTCCCGAAGGAGGCCCTCGGAGGCCTATGCTGTGCTATGTATTGCGCGGGGCTCCAATTTGCTTCCCGTAGTGTTCCCCCTTTTTCTGGAGCCCGAGCGCCCCGCCGTGACCTCGGCCCATCAAGGCGCCTCAATTGGGAAGAGGAGGAGGAGGAAGAGGAGGAAGAGGAGGAGGAGGAGGAGGAGGAGGAGAAGGAGGAGGAGAAGGAGGAGGGGATGAAGAGGGAAGGATCAGGATCCCGCGGAGGAGGAGGAAGAGGAGCGAACGAACCCTGGAGGGGGCAAGTCAGACGTCTAGCGGCCTTCACCTGCGCTGGCAGCGCGAGGTGGAGGAGGAGGAAGAGGAGGAGGGGGAGAAGGAGGAGGAGGAGGAGGTCTCTCGATGGCTTCTTGTGGCGTTTTGGGGCCAAACTTGCGTGGACAAGGCGCCTCTTTGGCCCCGTGTTCCTGACTCTCCTGATTTTCGCTCTCCTCACCCTCGCCTTCCTGCTTCACGATCCTGCTGCTCGCCCTCTCTTCCTCATTCTCCTGATCCTCCCTCTTCTCGTGATCCTCACTCTGCTGATCCTCGCTCTACTCTGCTGGTCCCCCTCTCCTGCTCCACGCCCGCACGATCCTCACCCTCCTGACTTTCATGCTCGCAATCCTCGCTCTCCTGGCCCTCCTTTTCCACATCCTCACCCTCCTGCTCCACGCTCGCCTGATCGTCACCCGCGCGACCCTCACTCTCCTGCTCATCACCCTCGCGGGCCTCGCCCTCCTGATCCTCACGCTCATTCTCATCTCTATCATTTTCCTCTCGCCGGGAAGCGCACGCCCCTTCTTCTTTCTACAGAAAATCCCGATCAACCGCAGGGCAGCCAGCGAGTATTAAATCATTGCAAGAGTTTCGCAGATTGAGGGCGGCTCGTTTCCAAAATGTGGCTCTCCCCTTAGCGCCGAGCACATTCGTTCTAATTGCAAAGAGCTTCCCGGATTGAGGCATGTCGTTTACAACTTGTGGCTCTCGCCTTGGCGCCGCGCACATTCGCATACAAATGTTGCAAGAGTTTCGCGGATTGGTTGCAGGTCGGTTTCGAAATGTGGCTCTCGCCTTAGCGCCGCGCACATTCGATCTAAATAATATAAGAATTTCACGGATTGAGGGCGGTTCCGTTTCAACATGTGGCCCTCGCCTTAGCGCCGCGCGCACTCGTTTTTAACATTCGCAAGAGTTCCACCTGTTCTCCTGGTCAACGTACCAGAAAAGGTGTGTTGGAACGGTTCAAGACTGTCAGGGCGCAACAATTACGTTGATTCGCAGTGTTGAAGTCCCAAGAATGGCGTGTTGGCGCGATACGGAACAGTCCGGTTGATTTGTGGTGTTGAACCCCTGAGAAAAATGCTGGCACGCTTGAGGATTATCACACTGTTGTCCCTCAACGGGGTAATTCCTTCGGTGGAAACGAATCATTGCAGGGGCTGGTGAAGAGGGAGCTTGGAGGGAGGGTGTATTTCAATATCGTTGATGAATCTTGGGTCTACATTGGTTCCCGTCCTCATCGTCCTCCCCCTCCTCCCCTCCTCCTCCTCTCCCTTCTCCTCCTCCTCCTCCTCCTCCTCGTCCTCGTCCTCCTCCTCCTCCTCCTCCTCCTCCTCAACATCCCTCTCCTCCTCCTGGGGACCACAATCGTGTTCCGCCGAAGTGCGCACCCGAGTGCTTCAGTCGCGCGGCCGTGTGCGCGTCGTCCTCGTAGTCCGAGAACGCCATGGTTTCGGCAATGCTGCTCGACGCCGCCGCGCCCAGGCGCGAGCCGTCGTGCACCTAAAGGAGAGAGGAGGACCGGGGCAGGCGAAAGGAGAGGAAGGGGAGGATTGCGGAGGAGGAGAAGAAAAAGGATGAGGGGGAAGAGGAGGAGGAGGAGGAGGAGGAGGAGGAGGAGGAGGAGGAGGGGGAGGATGATGAGGAGGAGGAGGAGGTGGAGCGTGCCAAAAGAAGTCAGTGACAAAGACTCGGGGGACGATCCGCCTGCCACAGGGTGGCGAGTGAGAGACGGCGCCAGCCCCATAAATAATAACCTCCCACAACACAAAGTACAGGATGGGGGAGAAGGCGACGTGGAGGAACACATCCGTGCCGAGCTCCACCAATCCAGAAACCATAGCACCAGAGAAATCGGGCCCGCCGACAAGCACCAAGGGGGGCGACGCGTCAATCGAGATCGGGCTCGGGCGGACCACTCTCAGGAGTGCCCCTGCTTGCCGAAGAACCCGAACACCTGCTCCACGTAGTCACCGACCTCGTCCTCCATAGCGATGTCGTCGAACTTCTGGTAGTTGATCGGCGTAGCGCGGGGCTCGATGCGGGAGGGGCCCACGCTGCCGCAAATGGGGACGGGCGCGGAGACTTCCCTCGCGCGAGCTGGAGCCGGCGTAGGAGGCACCTCGTCAAGACGGCGCCCCTCAGGGTGAGCAAACACACAATCATGTCGGTGGCATGCGCGCCCATACTTGCATACCGTAGTGGTCGGGGAACGGCCGCTGAGCTCCAGGCCGACGGACGCCTTTTCCAAGCTGTCGAGGCGGTCAGAGAGGGAGCGGAACTCAGCGCGCAAGGAGTTCGTGAGCTCGGTAACCGTGGCCATTTGCGATTCCGAGGGGCCGCTCGAGAGCTCGATGGCCGCCTCCAGCCGTTTCTCACCAGCTGCCACCAGGTCCCAAACCTTCATAAGCTTACCTTCGACGTCAGGAATGATCCGCTGCAGAACGCCAGGGGTCACGGCTTCAGCAATCTCGGGTCCAATTTTCCCTGCAAAACCTTGAAACATCTCGCGAACCGTGTGGGGAACGTTCAGCGCAGACACAACACCATGAACAGCAGAAGAAATCTTGGCGTCAATATTTGCAGCAAGCGCGTCCAACTGCACCTGAATAGAAGCGCGCTGAGAAACCTCAGTGGGCCCAGAAGCTTGAGGAGAGTGGGTCGACGGAGCATTCCCATCCCCCTCGTCACTGCCAGACTGCTCCTTGAGGGCCTCCTCACGTGGGCCGCACACGCCATCTCCAGCAGCGGAAGAAAACTGTGCAAACTTACTTGTTAGAACCGCTATCGTATTGTTCATATGTCCTCGACCAAATGTTGATAACCAGCAAGCTGTCCATCATAGACCCGTTGCGATTCGGCCAGCAAAACCGGAATCGACGTCGCGAGCGGGGCATGCGGGGCGAACAACGGCGCCTCAGCACGAGGAGCGTGTTCACGTGGTGGCCGCCGTTGAGCCCCTGCGAAACGAGGCGCACAAATCGGAAGACCATTTAAGATGACATCCGCCTTCCCAGGAAACGCTTCACTGAGCTCCCGCTGCAACGTGTCGACAAAACTTTCAGCCCATGGGTCAGTATAATGCCGCAAAAACTGGAATACCGCAGCAAGGTCGCGCACCCGACGCTTCGTCGAAGACGAGAGCACGCGCCGATGCGAATGAACAGCCACATGAAGTCCCGAAAAGTGCTGGCCCGAAGCAGTGGCAAACAACCGCAGAGTTTTCCAGCCAGTACAGAAACCAATCCGAAAGCGTCGTCCATCACGCAAGAAGAAAGTGCAAAAGCCCGCCCAACATGAAAAGAGCGAGAAAAACTAGCTTGAAAGAGCCAAACCAAAGAAATCCGTCTTGCGCCACAATGGCTACGGAGGAGGAGGAGGAGGAGGAGGAGGAAGAGCGACAGTAGCACAGGAGGAGGAGGAGGAGGAGGAGGAGGAGGATGATGAGGAGGAGGAGGAGGAAACGAACCCTGGGAGGGGCAAGTCTGGCGTCTTGCGCCAGGTGGCTCGCGGGGCGGCGCAGGCGGCGTGCTCGCAGCGTAGTTTACGTCTCGAAGAGGAGAGGAGTCACGATCAGGCGGCCGGAAAAAAGAAACACGCGAGGACGAGGGGGGCGGCGGTCAGCCGGGAGGAGAGAACGGCTGAGCAGCAGCGAGCGGCGGGCCCGCGCCTCGGCCTCCGTGCGGCGCGGCGCCGAACCGAAGGGCCAAGCGCGCGGCGGCACGGGCTTCGTTCAGACGCGTGCAGCTGATCCCGTAGCCGTCGCAGTCGGGGTACAGCACGATCGTTTCCTTCACGGTGTTGTACATGCGATAGGCTACGGCCATGCGAGTGTGGGCGTGGGAGATGTGGTCGTCCGCGGACGGGGCGATCTTGAAGTTCAACGCGCGCAGCCCCAGCCTCTCGAGGATACAGTTGGCGAGCTTGCCACGCGGAAGCGCCAGACTGTGCAAGAGCTTCCGGCACGCCCAGTAGTGAACGACGGCGCCAGCTGCGTGTTCAGGAGTGCATCCGAAGATGCAGGAGAGGCGATCAGGGCGAACATGAAATCGATGTGACCGAGACCAGCCTCCCGCAAGGGATTTTACGGCAAGCCAGTAACGGGAGAGAGGAAGCCTCGCGAGGTGGGACTTGGCCTTCTTCCATGAGGTCTTGACACTGAGAGGCAAATTGTAGAGCGCGCTGTTCAGAGACAGCCAAGGTGAATGGGGTCTGAGCTTCGCTCGATCGCGGTGTCCGCTTCATGAACTGGGCGCGGGCATGACGGTTCAGGGCCGGGTCGTGCCATGCTCGGCGGCAGATGTTGTGAGCGCGACGTTGCAGTTCGTTCTCTGAGCAGCAGCCTAGAAATACGCGGAGTCCTTGTCGGCCAAGGTGACGAAGAATACGTTGTTCACGCCAATCGAGCCAGTCTTCGCCGCGGCTCTTCGTTGCGCTCCAATTGTCGGCGTAGGTGTCGGGGGGCCAGTCCGGGGCCCAGTGCGCCAGCATCTCCGCGAGGAGCAGGACCTCGCGGGCAGCATCAGCACGATCAGTCTCGGCGTCGTCGGGGGTGGTGGAGGCGGTGAGTGGAGTCGGATGCGAGCGGATCGATGAACGCGTTTCAGGGCGAAGGAGTCGCTGGTCGTCATCCACGGCGGGATCAGCTCCACCCTGCGCCATGGGGAGGTAGGGGAACCAGGCCTTCAGACGCTTGGCAACCGTGAGGTCGAAATCGTGTTTGTAGATGTTCTTCTGGGGCTCGCTGAGGAACGTGGTTTGCGGAGATTTCTTCTGGGGCTCGCCGGGATGTTGACGGCGGGGGCGAAGAGCTCCACGAGCAGCAGCGCCCGCACTTCGGCGAGCCCGAAGGAGCTGGAAGCGTGCCCTTTCAGGATTGTGCACCTGCCGCTTCACGCGCACGAAGATGGAGCCCTTGCCCATGGGGATGGTCGCACCAGCAGCCGCATCATGGAGGCGTTGGGCGATCGACTTCGAGGGGTACCAGCAGGAAGGCGACCGGCAGCCTTGCCCGTAGTCGACCATGGGGAGGGCGATGGCGGCGGCTCCCTTCCGCGTCTCACAAGCAGCACGCCAAACAGACATCGTGGAAGAGGCCGCGCGCAACTGGTAGCACCCAAGAAGGCCTCGACGCCGGTGGGGATGTCCGCAGCAGCCCAGAGCTTCATGCTGAGGATGTCCATCTAGGTGAAGGCCGACGGGGCAGATCGAATGATTTTGTGAAGTACATACATCGCACGGCTGAGAGAAATCTCAGGGGCAGGGAAGAGTTGTCCAACATATGAGAGGGTGGTCAGTGCCGACGAGTTGTACAGCCCGATGTTCTGCTGGATCGGGGCGTGGGACTCGCCGAGAATTTGTGAGCGATGAAGCCACTTCGCCGAGGGGGCCGCCCACTGTGTGCGCTCGTCAGCACCAGGGCCCATGTAGACACCGAGGTACTTGGCATGGCTGTCGATCTTAAAGCGAGCCCGGTCGCTTGCATGTGGCCGAGTATGTCCCTGATGCTGTTCAACAGGTCGGAGGAGGATGCGACAGTCCAGACAGGAACCAGAAAGCATTTGCGCGGTTGAGGGAGCAGACCAGCGCATTCAGCGATCGCAAGTGGGTGAGGCAGAAGGCCGACGATGTCATCAATCCGCGCGAGGACACATCCCAGGTCGTCCGCGCATGCCGCGGCGACTTCCCGCTTGATGTCCACGGAGCACTGGAGGACGCCGCGAAGCGAGGGGTCGAAAGCAAGAGCCCACAACGTGCCACTTAAAGGGCAACCCTGTGCCACGCCGCCCTCCGCGATGAGAAGCGGGCGTCGGGTAGCGCCAAGTTCGAGGAACATGACGAGCATGAAGTACACCAGGTTGAAGAGGCGACCATGGACTCCCCAACGTCGAATCTCATCCCATAGCCACGTGTGCAGCAACGACGGGAAAGCGGCGGCGATGCCCATGCGCACGATGCACGGACGGTTGCTCTCGGCATCCTGCTGGAGGCCGCACGTGCGAGAATAGGTATCAGCTTTGACTATATGGTCCAGAAATCGACGACCAGGAATGAATCCGCTTTGGATTGAGGAGACCTTATTGAGAAGGGAGCGAAGTTTTTTGTTGGTGGCGGAGGCGATGACCTTGGCGTCCATGTTCTTCATGGCCAAGAGGCGGAGCTGCCCTGGGTCGCGCGCGCACTCGTGCTGTCCAGCAGGTTCATCTCCTCTGGGAAGCATCGCCAACATAGTGTGATTGAAGGTGTGCGGCGTACGGTTGCCGACTCACAGGTACTGCGTGAGCTCGGCCAAGAGATTGAAACTGATCGGGGTAACGTTCCAGGTCATGCGCGGAAGACCATCGGGACCAGGAGCGCAATCAGCGGCCATCCTGGCGGCCAGCATCAGATCGCGTTCGTCCGGAATGTCAGCGGGACAAGGACCTTCGACAGGAAAGACCATGCCGAGGAACGCTTTCATGGCGTTCGCGTCGACGGGCTTTTCCTGGAAGATCGGGGCCCGGTGCTGACCGCCGAAGCGTTGTCGCCGCGCGTCACTCGGATGCCAGCAAGCACCAGACGCTTCGCGAAGGGCTTCCACAGCTCCCCTCGGCGACGCTCGGTGTTGGCTCGTTCCCGCCACCTGCCGCCGCGTAGATGCTGTTGTTCTTGACGAGCAAGACGGGGGAGTTGTGCAGCCCGAGCACGTCGTTCTTGAGCCGCAGCGGCATGGGCAGCAGCGGTTTCAGAGGCGAATGCAGGGGGGGCCCATCAGGGCGACGGCAGCAGGGGACGACGAGGACGAGCCATCATCTTCCAGGCAGGTGCTTGGCGCCGAGGTAGGACTTGCCGATGAGAAGACGATCCAATTGGTGATGCTGATACCATGCCGCACGAGCAATGCTGCGCATCGTCATGGACCTCCTTGGAGATGGCACCGTGGTCATGGTTCAGGACGTCAGGCTGTAAGCAGGATAGGGCGCCGCGCGCAATGGCAGCCGCGGTGGCCGCGTTGGCCCTGAGCTCCTGCCACGTGCCAATCGGCGAGTGTTCGTCATGCTGCGTGTGCACAGGCAGGTGCTCGATCGCGTCGGCGTAAAACTTGGACTTGGAAATATAGGAGGGAATACTGCGTTCATTTTCTGGTCGCTGATTGCGAGGGCGCATGCGAACTTGAAGGACCTTGTGGTCGCTAGCAGGGGGGCCAGGGCGTTCCAGAGGGTCATCGCGAACTACCAAAATAATCCCGGCCAGGGGAAAGTTGCGCGGCGCGAAGGAGGTGAAACATCTGTCGATGCATGATTGGGCAAGGGTCGCTGGGCATCGATGCGTGGATGTTGTAGTGAACTCAGTCATCTGCCTGGGGGGCTGCTTCCAACGTGTGGGCTGGTGCTGGTCGCGTTCGCATGCTCTCGCGTCCACAGGGCGAGTTAAGCTGCGCGCAAGATGCTCAGAAATGTTGAGGTGACCCATCACGAATAACAGAACATGGTCAGGGTCGGCATTGGCTTCGCGCAGGTGTTCTTGATGGCCGTGCGGTTGACGGGGGCCAGCTCGGAGTTGTGCATGTTCGGGAAGATCTGCGCGCGCTGCTTCGCGGCGTCGGCGATGCGAAAGGGGGCCGCGCGCCGGGGAACAAACGAAGAGAAGGCGATCTCGGGCTTGGCGTGCTGATCGGGATCGTTCGGTCTCGGGAAATACTGAGGCGCCAGGAAGGCCACTCCACCAGCGTTAGGGCTGTCGGGGATAGCACTATGAAATGCCAGATACTTGGCAGACGTAGAGTTGGCCATCTAGAGCAGAGGGCGATCTTCTGAGAGCCGCGCGTTTCCTGCGGCTGCTTCTTGAGGTGCAGAACAAGGACGCGGCGCTTGATGTCGCGTCTGCGAGGCACAGAGTGAAAAGAAGCCTGGGCGATCCAGCTGATGACGGCGGCACGCGGGCGCGGGGGGTCGTCCATCCACGCTGCCCAACGAGTGTTAGCAACGACATTGCCGCCATGGGGTCGCCGAAGGAGGAGTCCATGAGGTTCCCGATGTCACGCGTGACGCGAGCATTGGTGCCGCGGCGGTCAGCAGCATCCGACCACTGGATCTTGGAGGGTTCTTGCGCGGAGGCACCAACTGTAAGCCGCGCGATGGGAACTCCGTCCACCGCGAGGAAGCCTTCGGCGCGGTCCGGCCTGATGTCCTGGTTCGGGCAGCACGAGAGGGCGTGCTGGGCGAGGCGCTTGAGCTGAACTTCTTGCTGTACTTGTTTGGAACCTCTGCCTGCGCTGACGAAATGATCGTGCTTGATGCCGTGATCGAAGATGCCGAACTTGCGCCATTCTCGGCCGATTCGAAAATGAGCGCGCCAGGATTGAGCGTTGGGGAAAGCCACTGCGCCCCCGCCCATGAGTGTGATAGAGACCCGCCTACTTGGGGCAACGTTGTTGAAGCGGACTGTGGCCATGTCGACGCCCGCGTCCTTGAAACAGGGGGCGAGAGCGACGCGCAGCTGTTCTTTGCTGATCGGGATGGCCGCGCCGCACCAGAACGTAGCGAGATGTCCAGGACGATCCCCAATGTTGGCCAGGTCCAAGCCCGATACTTTAGATTCCGTAATGGCGAGGTCCTGCTTGATGTCATCGGCCGGTTGCTCGAGGGAGGAGTTGGCCACGTGAGCTTTGTCCATGCGGAACTTGAGAGCGATGCTGCCATTTTCGGTGGCGTCTTGTCGAGATGAAAGGCTGCCGACTGCCTCCTGCACCTGCGACAAGAAAGCCCCTTGAGCGTCGTTGCATAATTTCTCTGCTGTTGCTTTGAAATTTGAGCTGGCCGGTTCAACTTGAGCTTTGAGTAATTGTTGTAATTCGGCCTTGAAACAATCAAGTTTGTCCTTGCCACTACCTTTCGCGGCGACCGCGGCGGCGGCGTCGTGCCAGGGATCGGCAGTTCGGCGTGGCGGTCGGCTCCCTGTGGGTCCGTCTGGCATTCCCGAGGTGCGCAGCCACTCCGCAGACACGAAGAGAAGGAGGCCGCGGCACCTCCGAGATATACCGCGTGGGCATATAGGGTGGAGAGCAAAAGGACACTCCAGCGCTGGCCTCGGAACGGAGGTATGCCATGGAAGCTTGCGGGCGCTGTGCCCAACAGCATTGGGATCTTGAGCCAGCCAAAACGGCGACGGAGGAGGAGGAGGAGGGGGGGGAGGAGGAGGAGGAGAAGCAGGAGGCGGTGGAGCGTGGCCGAGGCGAGTCCCAAACTTCCAACCTACCTGCCCACTCCCCGCGCCTCCATCACGATGCTGTCGAGATGGGCGCGGGAGAGGAAGTGCCCCTGCCTGCCTCTGGTATGCAAGCGTGTGGCCAGACGAACAGCGTCGATAATCCCTGCCGCTTCGATGGCCGAGAGAGGAAGGGACGACTGGCGAGCAGCAGTGCGATAGGCATGACATAATCAAACAAGGAAGCTCCGCGGGCATTCTGCTCAAGATGCAAGCTATACGAGGGAAGCCAGTGACACTGACACGAAACACAGGTACAGCCGGGCTGCTGAAAGAAGGAACGATAAACAAGGAACGAAACTCCAGAACTTCCAGTTCAAAACGTAAAAAAAATCGACTGGATGGCATTTGCCATCTGTCAAATGGTCCTCAATGGAAAAAAGGATGGGGTTAGTAGGATGGAAGGCTTGACTACCACCCTGGAAATCTGCGTGCCAGCTCCGGTACCCGGAGCGGTCCCCTAGAGGGCAAACAATAAAAGCCGAGCGAGCCTCCACGGAGGCCGAGGGTGAACAGAGGATCACAGGGGAGGAGGGAATGGAGAGACATGGACGCAACCCATTGGATGCGACCACACTCAAGAACATAATGGGAGATGGCATCAGGAGCACTCGGGCACCCAAACACACTATCGTGGGACGGACTCTGCATACGTTGGTTCGTGATCCAACACCCTACCCAGGAGGAGGAGGAAGAAGAAGAGGAGGACAAGGGAGACGGCGGCGACGACGACGAAGACGACGACGAGCGATGACGACGACGACAACGACGACGAGGACGAGGACGAGGACGACGACGACGGCAACGAAGACGACGGCGGCGGCGGCGGCGGCGGAAGGAGTCATCGTACACGGGAGGAGAGATGAGGAGCAGTCAAGCCTAATTCATGCAGGCAGTGGAAACTACCGTATCAGATCCTCATCCTCGCCCACACTCATCCTCAAACCCAATCTCCCACCCAACAGACTACAATGAGCAAGGCGGGGGGAGGGAGGCAACGAGGCAAAACGCAGTCGTTATATAATTATAGAACGTGCGACATTAACCTCTCAGTGGCAATGGAATTGCCGCTCTTGCAAACTGGATGCTTCGTCTTGGAAGCTCGAGTCTTCAGGGCATACTCTCTCCTCAACCTCATCCGAAGCATCCCCACCACCCCGCCCACATCAAGCTGCAAGGAGGGGGAGGTAGGAGGAGGAGGAGGAGGAGGAGGAGGAGGAGGAGGAGGGCGGCCTACTCATGATCGGAGTCCTCCATCTCCGCCTTCCGCACCCCATCGCGAATAGCACGGAAGGCCTCCTGGGCGGGGGCGACTGCGACAGGATCGGCGCCCAAAGCCACGAGGAACTTGCGCTCCAGCCCGATGGGCGTTAAGCCAAAATGACTTGTACTGCTCGCGGTCTTGGCGATCAGCGAGAATTTGACCTCCATGGCCAGCGGCTCGGTCGGGAACCGGAGCAGCTCCACAATGGGGAACAACGTCCACCTCGCCACTGCAAGCAGGCACAGCGGGGCAGTCATGAGGAGCAGCACCATCATCCGTATCAATAGCTGTACCCTCGAAGCCAGCGTCACGATCAGGAACAGCGCCGTGATCACGATCAAGATCAGGATGAGGGGCAGCACTGCAGTCATGAACTTGTACAGCGCAGCGCTTCACATCGGGACCTGCACCCAGCAAGGCACAGAGATGATCAGGAACAGCACCACGGTCAGGTACAGCTCCGCCATGCAGGCTGGGGAGGTCGGCCCTGACCTCCATGACCAGGGCCTTCAGGTCAGATAGCACGTCCTCTCAAACTGCGCAATCGGGAACGGCATCACGATGACGGACGGCCGCACGAGGAAAAGCACCATGAACAAGAGTACCACCATGAGCAAAGCCAACTCCATGAGCAAGAACAGCTCGGCAGCCAGGCACAGCGGCCACACCGTCAGCAGTACGGGAGGACCGCGAATCATCCGAAGCCTCGTTGGCAACGGACTCATTCCCATGGGCGGAGTCTCGGATGTAGAGATCCTGCACGATGGTCGTGGCGAGATCACCTGCAACAGCACCATGCTGAGCAGAGGGGGAAGACCGCGCAGCAAGCACACGCGGCTCCAGCCAACCGTCGTGATGGGCAGCGGCCCTCCGTCCGAGCCTCGCTGGCGACCACGTCTTGGCCAGCTCATCATACCCCCGTCAGCCGAAGGCCTTTGCGCACGTCCTGGGAGCTGGCCTTTGTGGCAAGCCCGAGCTTCACGCCTGGCGAGTGCAGGGTGCCCTCGGACGTCGCCATCTGCTTACGGTGTGGGCAATCGCCCCCGCCGCCATTGAGCAGCTGCATGGGAGGAGCCGCATCCTGCGCGTCACGCGAGTGCGCCAGCGCGGAGCCTTAGCGCACGGTGATGCAACCTCTCGAGCGCCCCATGGCGAGCTGAGAAGGGCCGCTCGCGCGCGGCCTGCCCAACCCCACCCGCTCGAGCCCAACTGGCTACGGAGAGAGGAGGAGCGGGCAGGCGAGAGGGGAGGGATGGGAGGAGGAGGCAAGGGGTTGCTCGTCTTGGAGAGCCCTCGTGGCCATGGCTGGATTCTCCCCGAAATTCTGGTCAGAGTGCGCCCCCGGGGAGTAGCGGGGCATGCGAGAGGGCAGGGAGGGAGGAGGAGGAGGCAACTCCTGAGCCGTTGCCCGCTCGGGGTGGGGCCCGCGGGGACCCACGGCGGGCGGCGGCAGCGCGGCGCCGCCATAAGGGTCGCGCGGGGGGGAGGACCCACCACACCCTCCCGCCGCGTCGGCAGCCCCTGGTGGCAGCAGCCCGCGTCTTGGGCGGCCAGGCCGACGGCCACGAGGCCAGAGCCCACCTGGCAAGCTCGAGTACGGCAGGCTGACGGGGGAGATCGGGCCCCTGATCGACATCAACATGGTCGTCGAGGTGTTCATGGAGCAGAATCGGCTCCAGGAGACGACCTCGATCCTGCTCGAGGCGCTCAGGGGAAACAGGCCAGACCAGGCCCAGCTGCAGACCCAGCTGCTTGCTATGAGCCTGCAGCAGGCGCCGAAGCTGGCTGGGACCATCCTGCAGATGAAGATGTTCACCCACTACGGCGAGCACTTCATCGGCAATCTGTGCGAGAAGGCCAGTCTGATGCAATACTATAATACGCCTTAGGGGGGAATACAAGGACCCCGCTGACGTGAAGCGCACCCTCCTGCACGCGCACCGGATGACGCTCGAGTTTCTCGGGCATTTCTTCGGCACGATGCCCCCTGAGACGGGTTGGAGTGCATTGGCGAGATCATGCGGCGCAACCGGCAGAACTTGCAGGTCGTTGTGCAGGTCGCCATCAAGTACCACGAGCAGATGGGCGCCCTCAAGATCGTGGAGACGTTCGAGAGCTTCTGCTCCCACGATGATATCTTCTACTTCCAGGGCGCCATCCTCTTGGCGATCACGGACCCCGCCGTGCACTTCAGGTGCATTCAGGAGGACCTGCACCACGACGGGGAGCAGTACCTGATTAATTCCCACCGTGAATGGCGGAGGAAAGGCGTGAGTGACGACCCGTGCCCCCTAGCAGCTTTTTTTCTTCGATGCTGCCTGCCCTCGCTGCTCCCGTGGTGGCCCCTGGTCGTGGGCACTTACCCGACGACCTCGTCAACGCAGGCTTAGGCATCGGAAGCAGTGAGGAGGGGTGGCAGATATCGTGAGCACGGTGATCCCCACAGTTTGTCTACTCCGTGCCCTTCTATCGTGGCGACGAGGGGAGGCGATGGACAGAGTGGGCAGGTGGTCTCCTCTTTTCTCGGGGCTGCCTCCTCGAAACTGCGTTCACGCTCGCCGTAGTGGAGGTGCTGGTGCTCCACGACGGCGCGCCGCACAGGCTGTCCTGGCGCTCTCGACCCTATGGCTTGTACCTGTATCTATGGGACATGTTCCGAGATGGGTCGTTGAGGCTATCCGTGGCCTGCCAATTCTTGGCCACCTCTTGCTCGATGAGCTGGGCGAACAGGTGGATGGCTCTGTTTCAGCACTTTCGCGACGTGCTCTTGCGAGCCTCTCGTCACGTTGCGGCCAGATCCTGGCCTCCTCGCCGTAGGCGAGCGCTCTTTGCTGCCGCGACTTTTGCAGCTTCAAGCCATGTGTACGGCGACGAGATGATGCGTAGGAATGGGTAGAAGCGTCGAGGAGAGACGGTGTGCTTCGTAGCCTGCCTGTGCTTGCCCTGTGGCCGTTGTGCCGTCGGAGGAGACGGCGCGCAGGCCCGCGACTTTGGCCTAGCGGCCTCTCGCGATTCTGGCCTGATGTGGACGGGTAGGAGACGGGGTCGATGGGCGCGCCGTTCCTGGTTGGGTTATCGCTATCTCTCTCACTCTGGCTCCACCATCTCCCACTGTCCTACCTCGTTTCGTCCGAGCTCTAGCACCTGTGGTCGCCCTTGCTGTGGCGCGGCCCGTTCCAGGAGGCCTGTCGTAACGGCGTGGCCCGTTCCAGGATCTGTTCGTCCTGACGGCGCGGTCCGTGCCAGGACACAAGCTTGCGCTCTCCGACCTTGGCAACGGCGCCTCTCGTGAGCGCTGTGGACGTGAGCCTCTCACTGTCAACTCTGTCGCCCAGCTCATCGCAGCTCGGCGCCCGCCGCTGACCACTGGAGTGCCTTTAGCAATGGACCTCGTAATTGCGAGGCGCATGGTCTCCCGCTCGTTCTCTGGCATCTGCGGGTTGTTGGTGGGGGAGGGCGGAGGGCTTGAGGAGGGGGGGCGATTGCCCAGCTAGGTCGTGTGACCTCTCTCGCCTCGGATCCATCCTGTCCGTATGCGCATGTTGTTCTTGCTCTCCGAGCTCCTGACAGTGTGCTAATTGAGTATGGCGCGTGAGGGTGGCGGAAGTGGGGCCTCCTCCAGCAACCTCGCCCTTTCCGTGCTCTCCATCGTGAGTTTCATGCATGTCATGTTATCTTGCGCTTCCAATTCTTCTCTTCGGTTTGTGTTGTTGCATTGCATTCCCTGCTTTCCCGCGGTAACCCGCGGGTGCCTGACGCTTCAGGCGCCAATTGATGCCCCTGCAGCCTGCGCAAGAAAGAAGAAGGCAACTCCTGGGATGTCTTCGTAAGAGTGACCAAGGACTGCTAAACCCGATTGAGCGGCCACAAGGCCAGGTCAAGCCTGGGATGAAGCTGGATTAAGCATTAAGCGGGATTCTGCGGGCTCCAACCGGATCAACATGTTTGCTCGACCATGGTTACGTATACCAGCGCCGATGCTGAATGTCACCCCTCAGGAGCTGCAACCAAGGAGGAGGGAGGAGGCAGGGGGATGGCAGAGGGAGGGAGGTGGCACCCTGGGGCCTTCCCCCAGCACCAGCTCTTCATCCTGAACTGCCTTTTTGATAGTCCAGGAACTCTGGGAGGGCCCCGCGAACCCGAAAGTGCCAAAAAACCTCAGGACCCGTTTTCCTCAGGCCCCGTATAGCAAACCCATACGAGGTGGGCTTTGGCGGCCCGAACAAAGGCTGGCAAATGCAAGAACGACCTCGACCCTCGAACACATCTATCCTCTAACCTCTCGGTCCTTCATGGCGAGGGGAGGGAAGGCCCATGCGCCGCGCACCGGATAGTACACGTCGCCCCCCAGCGTGCGACTGGCGGCCCCCCCACTGCCGAAGCTGACCACTCGGTAGCCGCGCTGCCGCAGCTCCGCGCAGTGCCCAGCGACGCGGTGCTCCATGACGGTAGCGGCGGCAACCACGTACGCGCAGGAGAGCGCGTGCATGGCCGCCGACTCCTCTTCCCCCTCCTCCTCCTCTTCCCCCTCCTCCTCCTACTCCTCCTCCTACTCCTCCTCCTCCTCCTCCTTGGCCTCCTCATCCTCCGCCTCCTCCGACTCGTTCCTCCTCCTCCTCCTCCTCCTCCTCGTCGTCCTCCTCCTCCTCCTCCTCCTCGTTCCTCCTCCTCGTTCTTCCTCCTCGTTCCTCGTTCCTCCTCCTCGTTCCTCCTCCTCCTCCTTCTCCTTCTCCTCCTCCTCCACGCTCTTCTTCATCCTCCTCGATCCCCCTTCTCCTCGCTCCGCCTTCCCTCCCTCTCTCCTCCTCCTCCTCCTCCTCTCCTCCTCCTCCTCCTCCTCCTCCTCCGACTCCTCGAAGCCGGGTGAGGCCACGACCATGTCGGCCAACGCGGCCACGGCGGCACACGCCGCCAGGATTGAGGAATGGACGCCCGCGCAGGCCATGGAGAAGCAAGCCTGGGGGCACAACCACATACCGATACCGCTACTCCCCAGGCTAGGACCGGCGACGCGGGCTCTCCAGGACGAGCAGTGGTATCGGTATCCCGTTCCCTTCTGAAGACCATCACGGACGGGGCCACGAACGGAGACCAGGCCCCCGGAACGACGATGCTGCCGGCCACCATGCGCGAGGCCTCCACGGCCCCAAGGGCGAGGTCAGACCAGACCAGCCTGGCGGGCAGGAACGACGCCACAAGCAGCGCCGAGGCCGCGCACGCGTCGAGGACGACGACCTCGGCGACGTCCCTGTTCGCGAGCGCGTCCACCAGGTATGGAAGCGGCAGCAGCACCCACCTGAGGGGGCACGACAGTGGGAACGGTAGGGATGGGCCGCCACTCGCCGCCGCCTTCGCCGCCTTCGCCGTCGTAGCCGCCGTCGTCGCCGTGGTCGTGGTCGTGGTCGTGGTCGTGGTCGTGGTCGCGGTCGCGGTCGCGCTCGCGGTCGTGGTCGTGGTCGTGGTCGTGGTCGTAGCCGTCGTCGTCGCCGTGGTCGTGGTCGTGGTCGTGGTCGTGGTCGTGGTCGTGGTCGTGGTCGTGGTCGTGGTCGTGGTCGTCGTCGTCGTCGTCGTCGTCGTCGTCGTCGTCGTCTCCCTCTTCCTGCTCCTCCTCCTCCTCCTCCTCCTCCTCCTCCTCCATGAGGGAGGATAAAAGGGGGGACTTGTAAACACAGAGCTTGAAACGCTGATATATCGCCGATAGATCGGTGATAGACCCCCGATTGCGAAGACGCATGTTCCTGAGCGGGATGGGGGCCTCTGCCAGCGACGACTGGGTGATTGGGGGTCGACGCAGTGCCCCCCCTGAGCCTATCCTCCCTGACGTTTCCCCTGAGCCTTTCCCCCCCTGAGCTTATCCCCCCCTGACATTGCCCCTGGCCGCCACAGGTCTCGCCGGCTCGCTCTGGCCTCTAGGTAGCCCGCGTCCGTCGTCAGCGACCACCACGCTGCGGCAAACTCCACCACAGCCTGAATGAAAGAAAACTACGCACATGCACGGATCCCGGCCAGGCCCATCCTGAGCGCAGGATCGGCGCATTCGCATTCATGGCTCGGCCATGGAGGCGAATGATGCCGATCTTTGGCCCAGGATGGGCCTGGCCAGCATCCGTGCGTGGGCATACACACGGTCGAGAACTGCTGCTTAGCGTGTCGCCGCGGCGGCCCTGGCGACACGCTGTGCCCTGCAAGCGGAGAGCGTCTCGCTCTGCTCCGCGGGGCGGGAGGCTCGGACAAGCTCGGGACGTTGGAGTCTCGGGGCCAGGAAATGGACAGCGTGTCGCGCCGAAGCGCGGTGGGCCAGAACTGGCAGCGCGGCACGCTATCCAGAAGTTCCCGACCGCCCGACCGTAATTCTCTTCGCCCGAACAGGCGCCGGTTCTGGCCAGGCCCATCCTGAGCTCGGGATCGGTGTAGATATACTTGTGGCATGGCCATGCAGGCAGATACACACCCTGGATGGGCCTGGCAAGGACCAGTGCATGGGCACGCATAACTCTTCGGTGGCAACTCATGGAAGCCTCCCATGCCATCTTGCTGGCTCTGGCGAACCAACGCTGACCGACGCTCACCGACGCTAGTCGACGCTAAATCGACGCTAATCGGCGCTGGTATCGGCGCTTCCTCATCGACTACCAGACGCCAGCGCACGCCAACGCACTCTGGAGACGGAATTGCGAGGCCATGCACGGCTCCAGTGATTTGCTACCGAACGGTTCTCTTCGCCCGAGCAGCCGCTCCGCCGCCATCGGCGCGCCCCGTCTTCTGCATCGCATGGGGCGCGCTGGCGGGCGTGCCGTGCAGACGCGCCGTGCAGGCGGGCTCCCGTGGCGCCTCTGGGCAGCGGCAGAGCGCTCGTCCTCGGGGCGGGCTCGGGCACGGGCTGCTGCGGATGCGTAGGATTCGCGACGACGGGAGCCGGAGGAGGAGCAGGAGGAGGAGGAGGAGGAGGTGGATGAGGATAAGCATAGCAGGGGGGTGAGAAGAACGAGCTCCTCGCTCCTCCTCCTCGCTCCCTTTCCTCCCCCTCCTCCTCCTCCTCCTCCTCCTCATGCTCCTCCTCCTCCTGTTCCTCTTCCTTCTCCCTTCTCCTTCTCTTCATCCATTCCCTCCATTTCACCCTCTTCCATCCCACCTCTTCCTCCCCCTCTTCCTCCGCCTCCTCCTCCCTCCTCCCTCCTCCTGCTCCTCCCTCCTTCTCTGCCTCCTGCTCTGCCTCCTTCTCCTCCTGCTCTTCCCTCCTCCTCCTCCTCCTCCTCCTGCTCCTCCTGCTCCTTCTCCTGCTCCTCCTCCACCTTCTCCTCTTCCTCGTCTCTCCTCCTCCGTCTCCTCCTCATCATCCTCCATCCTCCTGCTCGTCCCTCCCCCGCGTCCCCCTCCTGCACCCCATTTCCCTGTAATTAGCTCGCCCCCGTCGCACCACCAGGCGGTTCGGCCGGTCGGGCCAGACGCTCGCCTGAGATTCGTTCTGACATCGCAAGTGGGCGTCGTGTTTTCTCTGCATCCCCCCTCGCAGGAGAATAGTTATCCCCCCCTCTCCCTCCCCTCGTTTCACACTCACCATCACCGTCACACCGCCATCACCATCACTTCATCACTATCACCGTCCCATCATGATCATCGGCCACCGTCACCATCATCACCATCATCACCACCACCACCACCACCATCATCATCATCATCATCATCATCATCATCATCATCATCATCATCATCATCATCATCATCATCATCATCATCATCATCAGCAGCAGCATCAGCAGCATCAGCATCAGCATCAGCATCATTATCACTCCGATAGCCCTTATCATCATCAGCATCACCACCATCAGACCGATTATCGTCATCATCGTCATCATGCTCGCAATCATCAGCAACGTCAATACCCCCTCGCCATCGCCATCGCCATTACCATTGCCATCATCGTCATCATCATCATCACCATCACCATCGCCATCGTCACCACGACCATGACCATGACCATCATCCTCCATTATGTTTTACCGTGCGCGCAGGGTACAAGCAACTATCGGGCGCCAGCCGCCCCTGGCACCGCGGGCGGCCCGCCTGCATCTCGGCGCCCATGGTGTCCACACTGACCTGGGGCATCCTTCACTGCGCATAACAGCTTGGTCCCCTCCTCCTCCCCCTCCTCTTCCTCTTCCTCCTCCTCCTCCTCCTCCTCCTCCTCCTCCTCCTCTCCTCCTCCCCATTCCTTTTCCGGATGAATAACTCCTCCCTGTCGCACCCCGAAGCCGGTCGGAAGGGCGGGCCAGGCGTTGCGCCTGAGAGTTCCTTACCATTTATGAGTCTGAAGCTGATCAAGTGGTACCAGTTTCACAAATCGAGGGCGGGTCGCTTCCAAAATGTGGCTCTCGTCCAAGCGCCGCGCGCATTTGCGAACAAAAACTGCAAGAGCTTCACGGATTAATTGCGAATCATTTCCAACATGTGGCTCTCGCCATAGCGCCGCGCACACTCTTCTGAATAAAACTTGCAAGAACGTCACGTTGTGAAGGTGGGTGAACTCCATAATGTGGTTTTCGCTGTAGCGCCGCGCAAAGTCGTCGCAAAAAACGGCAAGGGCTTCACGGATTGACGGCGGGTCGTTTTCAAAATGTGGCTCGCTTTAGCGCCAGGCACACGCGCCTCGAAACATTGCAAGAATTTAGCGGATTCTCATGGTTAGCCTTCAAGGAATTGTGATTGGGAGTGGTTCAGGATTGTCAGGGCGCAGCAGTTACGTTGATTCGCGGTGTTGGAGTCCCAGGCACGGTGCTTTGGCACGGTTCAATATCGTCGATTCGCAACAATCAGGTTGACTCGTGGCGTGTCCTGAAACGGTTGTTTTGGCATGCTTCAGGATTATCGCACGGTTGTCTCCCAACGGAGCAATTCCCTCAGAGGAAGTTAACCCTTGTATGGGGTCTATGTCGAGGGAGCTTGGAAAGGAGGGTGTATCCCAACATTGTTGATGGGTCTTGGGTTTTTGATGAGTCTTGGGTTTACACAGAGGTCCTCCATCTCCTCATCACCATCGCCATCGTCATCGCCACCATCACCATCATCATGACCATGACCATGACCATCACCACCATCATCATCACCACCGCCACCACCACCAGCATCATCACCACCACCATCATCGCCGTCGCCATCATCATTAGCATGACCATCACCATCATCAGCAGCATCAGCATCAGCACCATCCTCCTCATCAGCGTCATCTTCCTCCTCAACATCACCACCATCATCACCATCCCCGTCCTCATCCTCATCCGCATCATCATCCTCACCATCACCTCCATCATCACCAGAACCACCATAAACATCATCACCAGCAGTATCATCAGCATCATCATCATCATCATCACCACCACCATCAGCATCATGATAACCATCATCGCCATCAATATCACCTTCAGCATCATCATCAACACCCCCATCACCACCACCATCGTCATCATCGTCGCCATCATCATTAACATCACCATCATCATCAGCATCAGGGTCATCATTCTCATCATCATCATCATCATCATCATCATCCTCCTCATCATCATCATCATCGTCATCATCATCATCATCATCATCATCATCGTCATCATCATAATCATCCGCCGCAGCATCATTACCATCACTACCAACATCAGCATCTCCATCGTCATCATCACTACCACCATCGTCATATTCATTCACCTGCTCCTCCTTCTCTTGCTCCTCCTGCTCCTGCTCCTCCTCCTCCTCGTCCTTGTCCTCCTCTTCCTCCTCCTCCTCCTCCTCCTCCTCCTGCAATCCCCATAGCGCGGTCTGTGCACGACCACGCGCGCGACCCTCTGAACTTCTCCGGGACCGACACGCACTAGTAGAGCACCACAACGATGTGCCCTGGCAGCGCCGGCGCGCCGGCTCGCCCGGCCAGCGAGGCGGCCAGGGCGGCCAGGGCGGCCTGGGCGCGAGGCCGCTCCGCTCCCGCCCCGAGCGTCGCGCGCAGCTGGCGCGCCGTGGCGGCCTGGAGCGCCGCCGACAGCTCGGCGCCCCAGCGGCGCGCCAGGGGGCGCTGGCTGCCGCCGCGGCCGCGAGGCCGTCGCCCCCGGCCAAGAGCTGCGCTCGCCAGGCGCCGCAGGTGGTGCAGGGCGGCCGGGCCGTGGCGGCCGCCCGTCTCGAGCGCGAGTGGCGCCGTGCGCCATGGCGCACGCCCTGCAGAGTACTGGGCGCGCTTGTCAACCGCGGCGCCCCCGCAGATGGCGCCGTCGCGCGCCGTGGCGGCACGGAGCCTGTCGGCGTCGCCCGGCGCGCCGTGCCGCGCCGCGACGTCGACGAACACCCGCGGGGCGTCCGCCCGCTGGAGCTCCAGGTCGAGGATGGCTTCCTCGCGCCTGGACGTCAGCGCAGTCCCGCAGCTGGCGCAGGCCGCCCCCGCCGCCGCGCCGCCTGCCTCGCAGCCAACGCAGTGCCAGTGCCAGCGGTCCCAGGCCGGCACCAGCGTCGGCCGCGCGACGCGGTGGCCGCAGTCAGCTTGGATCCGCCCCAACGCTGTCTCCAGGTCCCCGCTGCGCGCCGCCAGCCCGCCTCCGCGCGCGCAGCGCCAGGCGCGGCGAGCCTCCGAGCAGTGCGGGTCGCCGCAGCGCTGGCCAGTGCGGGCGCAATTCTGGCAGGTGGCTCCCGGGGGCCCTGCGTCCTGGCCCAGGGGGCAGCGCGTCGCGGAGCGGGAGTCAGCGTCGCTCAGCTGCTGGCCGAGCGCGCCGGGCGAAGCGGTCTGCCAACCTGCCGCGCGCGGGCCATCGCGTGGGCCGAGCGGCGCCTGGCCCCCTTTCGTCAATCCTTGCGGCGAGCTCCTCTAGGAGCTCCTTCAAAGGCTCGGTTGCGAGCTCGACCTAGGCGGCGGCGGGGGCGCCGCGAGCCTGGCGAGGCTGCCCCGGCAGCCGGCGGCTCGCGGCAGCGGGCTCGCGTCCAGGTCGCCACTCGGATGTGCGGGGGATTTGCTTGGTCTTAGTTTGACTTGCAAGTCGTTGCTAAGTCGCTGGCAACTCTCCACCCCCGGAGAAAAACGCACCATCCCGACGGAAAACGCACAATCCCGATGGAACATGCACTACCCAGACGGAAAACGCACCATCCCGACGGAAAACGCACCATCCCGCGCTTTTCGAGTTTGATTTATTCTGCGGCCTTCCTGCGTTCAGCATGACTCATATTGAACCACTGACTCGGATGAACCCCGGGGGTGGTGGAGCCTGGCAATTTCTTCAAACCATTGAGCACCGTATAATGGATTAGGATATGTGACCCATGCTCTTGTGATGGGTACATAATCTGGATCGTAGTGTAACACGACTCGAAGGCTATACGTCCTCCGTCTGCCTTTCAGCGGCAGTTTCTCTGCTAGCTCATCCCTAGTGAACCCAGCCGCAACGCGCCGATCTTCGTAGTATTCCATCGTGTCAAGATTTTGCGTGGTTCGAGCGAGGAGCTGAACTGGCCCGGGCACTCTCAGTCTCGGCTGAGCCGCGGAGAAATTGGACTGACGATCCAAACGGAAGTCAACATGTGCGAGACCAAGCTTCTGGTTTGTGTCAATATCTGGTCTCGAATCTCGCCCAGGGTCCCAGCCATCCGCTGCCGCAGGCACGTCATCCACAACAATCCCCTCTGGACCGTCATCAGTGGACTTGCCCTCGGAATCTGAAGGTGGTGCGGCGTCGCCCCCTGGAGGGGGCGTTTGCATCGGCTCGCCCGGGTCTCTGTTACTAAACGGCGGAGCCGTCTGTGTGCCCAGTCGGGCCCCCTGTCCAGCTGAGCCCGCAGAGGAGCCATCAGGAGGTATGATGACGTGTTTAACCTGGGTCTGGGCTTTTTCGCATGCATCTGTCATAGGGAATTTGGGCTCCTGGTCATCCGCGGCGCCGTCCAAAATATTACTGTAGACCTGATCAGACTTCTCGATGATTGGACGCTTGCCTGCTGGCGTTCGCCCCGATTCCATGTTGAGTGCGTCAAGTTGTCTAAGTGGCCACACGTTGCTCTCGGGCCCTACCATGCCCTCTTCTTTGTGCACAGATCCGAAGTATATCCCCGTGACCATGGCCCCGCCGGTTTTGGCGGTCCGAAACCGAGATTCCGGAGGGGGCACGAAGCGAGCGAGGGATCCAAAGGCGAGCAGCGGAGCAGCAAAGTCGTGTCCGAATCTGCGCTTCCAGGACGACTCACCCTCTTCAGGAATCCTAGCAGTATCACATAGGCAGAAATATCGGACGGCATATGTCCAAAATGGCGGAGGTAGGCCGGCCTGCATCAACAGGGCCCAGGTCCCCATCTGAACGGTTCCATTGGACCGTTCAGCGACAGCCATAAGTTTCCTGTTCCCAGGGATGGTGGGATCATGCGCTATTCACGCACGCCAGGGATTCTAGGCACGCGCGTGCGAGTTCCCTCGCAGCGTCAACATAGCAATGTTCTAACTTCTCTCCCAGAGCTTTAAGGTTGATCAAGAAGTTACACACGTGAACCGCTGATTCATCATGCACACCTTGAGCCGCGAGGAAATCTATTGCCCGGTCGCGAAAGGTCACGCGCGCGGTCTCATCGCGGAGCCCCCGCGATAGCTCATCCATCGCAAGCCAGTGGTCCATAGTTATCAGGTGTCCGAACGTGACGGGCTTCGCGTATGGTCTAGGTCTCTTTAGCCCTTTGTTGCGCGCTTTTCTTTGTTGGCGCCGCAAGGCCTTCGCCCAGTTGCACGTCGAGCAGAAAGGGTTCTTCGGGGCGTGAGTTAGTAAATGCGCGAAGGAGGGCGCGCTCTCTTTGAGTCGCTCGGTCGCTGAGACCGACACCTCAACCCCTGCATCGTCTGGGTCGGAATCGGGCGGCACGTCGATGTCAACAAGGTCAACGCCGCCCGAGCCCGCATCTCCATCCCCCCTCTGGTCCGGTGCTGCAGCGGTCGCGTCGGGGCCGAGCCCTTGATCCGTGTATAAGGCGAAAATCCTGAGACGCCGTGCAGGCAAGGGCTCATCTGCACAGCCGGACAGCCACCGGCTAGGTCGTGGTGTGACGTAGTACAACCAACGACCAAGTCGCGATTGGGAAAAGATGAGGGA